TATTTGTTGAATGCACATCTTTTTATTCATGAAGGCCTGGTTGCCAATTTTCTTTTTAATACAATATTATTGCAAACACACTAGGAAGTGGGGAAGTTTATCTCTTAGCGTAATGTGTAAACCTGTTTAAAGATTTCAAAACGTGTTGTTTCGAAGAAAGGGATATAGCTACATTAAGCGTGTTTTATATGATTTTAAAAATAATTGAACATAGCAACATTAAAGTGTGTTCAAATGATTTTAAAAATAGTTGAAAATAGCAGCATTATAGTGTAATCAAATGATATTTTTAAAAAGTGAAATTGCTACACGAAGCGTGTTCTCAAAAATATGAAACAACCAACCACTACGAGATGCAACCGTGGGTTGTCTAGCATATCTCAACCACCTGTCAACCCTCTTGTAATAAAGATATATGTTTAACTTCAAGTGACTGAGGGCCACCTCAACACCCGCCCCCCCCCCCCCACCCCCAGGAGGCAGAACTGGTCTAGAGGGGCACCCACAGCTCCAGACTCTCTCACTCTCCACCTCCCAGAGGCAGAACTTTCTAGAACAACGAATCATCATCTGATATCTGGGCTGTGGTGTTTTGTTTGCCGGCAGCTTAAGGAGAATTCGAACCACCCAGTCGGCAGCAGAATGTGACATTAAACGTCAGAGTAGGTAGTGTGGTAATGTGACATTAAATGTCAGAGTAGGTAGTGTGGTAATGTGACATTAAACGTCAGAGTAGGTAGTGTGGTAATGTGACATTAAACGTCAGAGTAGGTAGTGTGGTAATGTGACATTAAATGTCAGAGTAGGTAGTGTGGTAATGTGACATTAAATGTCAGAGTAGGTAGTGTGGTAATGTGACATTAAATGTCAGAGTAGGTAGTGTGGTAATGTGACATTAAATGTCAGAGTAGGTAGTGTGGTAATGTGACATTAAATGTCAGAGTAGGTAGTGTGGTAATGAGACATTAAATGTCAGAGTAGGTAGTGTGGTAATGTGACATTAAATGTCAGAGTAGGTAGTGTGGTAATGTGACATTAAATGTCAGAGTAGGTAGTGGGATAGCCAGACTGGTGAGTACTTACTGTTGCAAAGTGTCCGCACGTGTTTGCACTGCCGTTGTCATAACCCAGCAGGAGTTACGTGGAGAATTCTAAGTGTCGGAGACTGGTCAATTAGGTAACAGCTTCGTGCTGGATACAATGGAAGGCCTACCTGTTGGTGTCTGAGTGTACTAAGTAGCACCGTGGCTATCCCAATTAACTACATAGCTAACCTAACAAAAGACCACACAACTACCACGGTTAACACAATTAACGACCACAACACTACCATAGTTACCCCAACAAACGAGTTACTGCAAGACTTACAGACATCACGGTTCTACCTTTGCTACCTGGAGCGCCTGCACCCTGTAACCCCCCCCCCCCCCCCCCCACAAGGCGGCCCCACCTGGTGCCGGCACGGATACGCCATTGTTGGCGCCCCCTAATAGCCCAGGATGCTAAGATCAACCCGAGCTAGTCCCCTAGTACTGTAACCCCCTTACGTAACCAGCGCCAAAATGCCAGCTGTACTAATGCACTTGCAGGAATAGTTCCAAAGGATTCCCAGAAACGAGTAAAAGGTTTACGCATTTTTATAATGCCCAACGCATTTCCTGAAATCTCAGGTAAATATTTGCGTATACCTTGCGGCATATTCAGCTAAGAGCAGACGGTTCTAGACCTTGATCTAGGCTGGATTTAGTTGAATCTGGACAACTTCTTACACCTCTGCCTGACTGGCTGGCTGGCTGACTGACTGACTGACTGACTGACTGACTGACTGACTGACTGACTGACTGACTGACTGACTGACTGACTGACTGACTGACTGACTGACTGACTGACTGACTGACTGACTGACTGACTGACTGACTGACTGACTGACTGACTGACTGACTGAAGATTAGAAGTTACGATATACTCGCCTAAGGGCGGGGGCAGATAACTCTCAGCTTGTCAAAATGTTACCCCGGTTCGAATCCTAGTTGGGAACAAGCCAATTTTAGGCGAGTTTGACTTATCAACGATCTCTCATTGTAATATCCGAGCACCAAGCAACCAAACTATTTTCATAAATAACAGTCTTCTTGGATAGAAGACAACAGCATGTCGGAAATATCCCCCCACCCCCACACACACCTGGTCTTATATCTAATAACATCATGCTCGTTCTGTGTTGTAAGGAATCCTTTAGTGTATGTATTGTATGGTCATATGATAATCTGAGGACCAACGGACTTAAATCACTCAGCTCTCAATTGACTCGACGCCAACACACTGTCCCTAAACCCCAACCCTACACACTGCCCCTAAACCCTAACCCCACACTGCCTCTAAACCCTAACCCCACACTGCCACTAAACCCTAACCCCACACACTGCCCTTTAACCCGACCCCCACACAGTGCTCCTCAACCCGACCCACACACTCCCCCTTTTCACACCCCCACACACTTCATCTTGACCTGACCCCCACAGACTACCCTTTAACCCAACTCCAAGCAATGCTCTAATGACCATACCCACACACAACGTCATTGACCCCCACACAATCACCCACACATGGTATTGTAAAAAGCGCTTTGTTCTATTTGAGTGATGTATAATATGCCTTATATAAACGTTATATCAAGGCAGACCATATGCGATAAATGTTCCCACCAAGCATCATTTTACCATGATACCCATTATTTAGCTCCCCAGGACATCTTCTCGCTATAACTTGCCTTCGCCCCACTGCCTTTTCCGCCCAGGACCCCCAATATGTGCTGACATTTGATCCGCTAACCTACCCCTAACCCCAACCCTACCCCTAACCCCAACCCTACCCCTACCCCTACCCCTAACCCCAACCCTACCCCTAACCCCAACCCTACCCCTAACCCCAACCCTACCCCTAACCCTAACGGCCCTGCTGACCCGTTTGTAATCAGTCCACTAACCCAGAGCAATAACTTGTCAAACTAACTGACAAGAAAAATGTGTTCTGTTGCAGCCTACCCCCTGCCCCACCCCCCTCCCCCCCCCCCCCTCCCACACAGCCTCTATCTACCCGTCCACATGTAAATAAAAAAAAAACTAATCAGTTTTTTCCCCTTAAGAAAATTGTTTGGTGCGAGTGATAGCCCTTACAGCGCCAGTACAGAGAGGGGGAGTAACCGATAGATCACGTTTGTTTACAATAACAAGAGTTATCTGGAAAATAAATACTTTAAAAGACGGGTGGGAGGGGATGGGTGGGGTCAGGCGAAATATTGGCGTCAGTTCGTTTGTTCAATAAGATGGGCGTGGTGTCTCGAAGGGTTAACTTAGAGAGCTGTGAGGCTATCGATTTTGATCAATCAGATCATCAATCTATCGTCTGTATACATACACAATCTCAGTTCTATCATCACACATTATCCTCTCTATACATACACAATCTCAATTCTATCATCACACATTATCCTCTCTATAGGCTACATACACAATCTCAATTCTAACATCACACATTATCCTCTCTATACATACACAATCTCAATTCTAACATCACACGTTATCCTCTCTATACATACACAATCTCAATTCTAACATCACACATTATCCTCTCTATACATACACAATCTCAATTCTAACATCACAAGTTATCCTCTCTATACATACACAATCTCAATTCTAACATCACACGTTATCCTCTCTATACATACACAATCTCAATACTAACATCACACATTATCCTCTCTATACATACACAATCTCAATTCTAACATCACACATTATCCTCTCTATACATACACAATCTCAATTCTAACATCACACGTTATCCTCTCTATACATACACAATCTCAATTCTAACATCACACGTTATCCTCTCTATACATACACAATCTCAATTCTAACATCACACATTATCCTCTCTATACATACACAATCTCAATTCTAACATCTCTAAACAATACAGTCTATGGGCTCTGGTCTCAGAATCTGAATGGGATAGGCTAATCCACAAATGGCCTACCACAAGACATTACTAAACCACCACACCACACCCTTCCACTACACAACACCCTACCACCAGAACCTCCCCCTTCCACTACACCACACCCTTCCACTACACAACACCCTACCACCAGAACCTCACCCTTCCACTACACCACACCCTTCCACTACACAACACCCTACCACCAGAACCTCACCCTACCACTAGACCCCTACCCTACCCCCACCCTACCACCCCACTCTACCAGAGTTTCTTCCAGGCATCTCTTCGGGAATTTTTTTTCCGCCCCCCCCCCCCCCGAACGAAATGAAATTTATATAATTTATATAGAAAATATATACTCTTAACAGTGTCCGTCCCCCCCCCCCGAAGAAAGTCTACCGCCCCCCCCCCCCCCCACAGAAAATTTCAAGTGCCCCCCCGGAGAAAAAAGTCTGGAAGAAACACTGCACCCTACCACTAGACCTCTACCCTACCCACACCCTACCACCAGAGCCTCACCCTACCCCTACCCTACCGTCACCCTACCACCCGACCCACCGAACGTGTAAAAGTTATTTACAATATGGCTTTCCCTCTTGCACCTTTTCCCTTCTTAGACTTTAATCTCTACCCTTATACTGAGCATTCTTAATACCCAATACAAAAAATTTCTGTGAAAATCAGATTGTATTATTCCACTCTGGATGAAACTATCACTATGTAGATGTTGGTTAGCCGTACACCGACTTTATTACTTTTTGTGATGTCCTTATTAATAATCAGATGTTGATTTTTTTTCTAGCCTGCTCGTGACTAATATATGTAAATTCTATTTGTCTTTAATTTTTAAAATGTACAAGTTTTGACATACTTAAAGGACCAAACTTATCTTCAGAACTTTAACTATAAACAGATTATTTACCGAGAAAATAAAAAAAAAAACCAAGCTTGATCCAGTGTATGTGGTGGTGACGGTCTGTTTGTTGCTGTTGCAGGTCTGACCGCGATGGCGTCGTGTCCGCGAGTAGAGCTTGATGTGATGTCCAGCTCGTGTTTCAACGAGTACAGCCTCCAGTACTACAACATGCAGACCAACCCGCTCAAACTCTGCTGCGGCATCGATGTGGAGACTCTCAGGGCCTTCTGTGGGTAGGTGGTCTCGTTCTGTCAGACACTGACATCTGACAGTGACACGTGGCACTGACATCTGACACTGACACGTGGCAGTGACATGGCAGTGTCATGTGACAGTGACTTGTGACAGTGACATGTTGTAGTGATATGTTGAAGTGACATGTGGTATTGACACATGACAGTGGCAGTTACAGTGACATGTGACAGTAACATGAGATAGAGACATATGGCAGTGACCTGTGACAGTGACAAGTGTCATGTTGTATTGGTATGTGGCATTAACATGTTACAGTGACATAGGCCTACTGTACTGTAGAGGCGTGTGGCAGTACCACATGGCACTGACATGTGGCACTGACATGTTACTGGCATATGTCAGTGACAGTGAAAGTATCAGTGGTGTATGGCAAAGACATAGGATCATAATGACATTGTCACACTGACATTTCAGGTTTTTATTATTTCTTTGCAGGCCATTTGTGTTCATTTTGGTTTTATGATAAACGCGCAGTAAGAAAAATACGCAACAAGACAATTGCACAAACTGAAAAATACGCAAACATAAAAATGCGCACGAATTGTGCTGATATTACTGTGATATTGACAAATCGTGCGCCGCTTATCAAATGTGCACTAATTAACAGAGAGTGCACCAAGCATCCGGTAAAGACACCCAATCACACATCCACACACCTTGCGTTATGCTGTTGCCCCAACCATTTCTTATTTTATTGAAAGCGAGAGATGTATCCACAAAACTATGTTCGTTTAATAAAACTTTCTATTTTAAGCAAAATATAATTGGATTTTCAACAAAAACTTTTTAACAGCATGATCGTTTAGCCAAAGATACAGCAACAAAATTGGTGCAGTTAAACTGGGACTAATTTAAAAGAAGAAAATTAGGCTGTAAAACTGTTTTACAAGCTCACTTTCACGTCTCACTCTTCACGCATCATGGTTCACTCCTCCATTTTCACTTATTCTTATGAACTGAGGTTAGAAGTTAAATCTTACAAAGTGGTGTGTCGTACGGTGGTTTCTTTCTTAAAGAAGGTGGTTTCTGTCTTAAGGTCGGTGGTTTATGTTTAAAAGTCGGCGGTTTTTATAACGTCGGTGGTTTCTGTGTTTCTGTGTAAAGTCTGGTCTATTTTAAAACAAACACATAATTTGTCATGCAAAGGCTTATAAAGAAAATCTACATATACCACATATAACACACCCCACAAGATCGGACATAACCCAAGATACGTCATATAACAATGTCACATACAAGTGGAGATAACACAGCCCGTGTATCTGCTAGCGGTAACCAGAGTAATGTCCCCTAGCCACACATTAGCTATACGTTTTACTTCAGCTGGGTACCAACTTTAGCTGAGTGTTGTTAAAGGGTCACGTGACCTCGTCTCATTGGATGGAGCGGTTGCCGCCATCTTGGTGTACAGTTAACCTGGTGTTGTGTGGAGAGTTACAGACTACAGAGAGCTGGACAAGACAGTGTCAAACTTTGGTCAACTGGCTTGGTCCGTGTGTGAACTTGATGTACCTCAAGACTTTAGACCGGGGGGGGGGGGGGGAACACACACTGACCCTCCCCCTCCCTCCCCCTAACGGCGCCTTAAATATGCCAGACACAAGCACGTGCTGACACCAGCGGGGAGTCCCGATAGGGTGGGATGGGAGGGGGGATAAGACAAGGGGGGGGGAGGTTGAGACAAGCAAATCATCCCTGCCCTAGACGGCCCGCACACTGTGGTATCACCCGGTAGATAAGGGGTGAGTTGTAGCCCTTTGTTAACATAGCGAGTACCGCCGTATTTATAGTTTAGTGAGTAGTGTCCCCTCGCACTGGTGGTGTGGTTATGGTATCACCCTCACTGGTTGTGTGTGTGTGTGGTATCACCCTCACACTGGTGGTGTGGTTATGGTATCACTCTCTCACTGGTGGTGTGGGTGCGGTATCATCTTCATATTGGTGGTGTAGTTGTAGTATCCCCCTCACATTGCTGGTGTGGTTATGTTATCACTCTCTCACTGGTGATGTGGGTGTGGTATCATCTTCATATTGGTGGTGTGGGTGTGGTATCACTCTCTCACTGGTGGTGTGGTTGTGGTTTCACCCTCACACTGATTTCGCCCTCACTAGCGATGTCGGTGTGGTACGAAACTTTCACCAGTAGTGTACACTGTATCACAGGCCGCACCCCACATGTCCATTTATCTGTGTGTGTGTGTGTTGGATGCGAGAGTGGAAGTGTGTGAGGAATGAATATGTATAAGTGTGTGATAGATGAATGTGTATAAGTGTGTGATAGATGAATGTGTATAAGTGTGTGATAGATGAATGTGTATAAGTGTGTGATAGATGAATATGTATAAGTTTGTGATAGATGAATGTGTATAAGTGTGTGATAGATGAATGTGTATAAGTGTGTGATAGATGAATGTGTATAAGTGTGTGATAGATGAATGTGTATAAGTGTGTGATAGATGAATGTGTATAAGTGTATGAGATAAAGTTAGCGTGCACCATTTGATGGTGCTGGAAGTTAGGTGAACCACGGGAAGTGACGTAATACTTCGACCCCTGACCTTCCCCGTGTAACTCCAGACGAACCCCTCATACAATCTACCAGTCTAGATCGTATCCACAAAGGGAAGTTTTAAAATTTTACTGCCTGGCAAAAGTTCCAGCAAGACTACCGTGAGAACAAATTGTTCCGCTCACCGAATCTTGAACCCTCGACACAAGCCTCAAGGGCAGATAACACCGCTCCATTTGTGGCTGATCTAAGGGAAGCAACAATGATAAAGCAAGTTGAGTTAAGGGCACAAGCCACAATCAAGCACATTTTTATAAACGATCTCCGGGTCATCAAGTGCACACCGCTTTAAAACTAACGCACTATCTGCCCTTTAGTGCCCCAGAAATGTCTGATGCAGAAGTTGATTGTCTCATCTCACAATACAACGTTTACTAGCGTCCTTCTAATACACGTTTAAAATGTAAGGGCGCATAAGAAACGACTAGATAACCATTACATTATGGAACATGGACGCCGTGAGTAATTCCATGTTAGTCTGTAGACATTCATGTAGTCTCTTAGCCGTCTCACAGCTTAAGTAAACTTGTACGGTTGTCTTGGTTTAGTCTACTCAATAATTCTCTGTGGCTTAATTAACTGGTTTTTTAGATAATAAATATAAAACATAATTTGGGGCACCGAAGTTCAGGGCCCTAGGTGGCTGCCCGGTCAGCCTAGCCACTGAAACAATTAGATTTGGTGTTAAATAATTTAACTATGGCGCCCACACACAGACACACCTGCCTGGTGCTGTGTGCTCCTTACACCTTCAGCAGGTGGGCCCTTACATCTGTAACTGTAGCAGGTGGGCCCTTACATCTGTAACTGTAGCAGGTGGGCCCTTACATCTGTAACTGTAGCAGGTGGGCCCTTACATATGTTACAGGTGGGCCCTCACAGCTGTCACAGGTGGGCCTTTACATCTGTTACATGTAGGACCCTCACACCTGTCTCAGGTGGGCCCCCAAACCTACATCCAGCGGACCCTCAACTATACAAGGGGCCCATCATACCTGTCAAACATGGATTCTCTGCGCCTCAGTGTTAAAATCTACTCCGTCGTCGCTCTGTGATCTTCATTAAATCAGTCGCTGTCTGTCTTTTGTTTTCCTACACCTTTATTTGGCATGAGATAATTATTGTCTTCTGTCTGTCTTTTGTTTCCATACACTTTAGTCTGGCGTGAAATAATTATTGTCTTCTGTCTGTTTTTGTTGTCTAAGACATGCCTTCATGTCTGTCTGTATTGACAAAGTTCTGGATTAGGAGACAATCTTTTGGATGAGAACATTTAGTGTTAACCAGGCCTTACGAACAATGGAGGGAAATAATTAAACCGGCATTGCTGCATGTTATGGCTTGGTCTTATTTGTTAAAACGGGATTCACATTTCAAAGACACGGGGGGGGGGGGGGTGGGAGGGAATCACGCCGCCAATCTTACACGGTCACACGTACACAGTCAGACTTACAATCATACAGACACACTCACAATTACACAGTCACGCTGTCAAACCTATCTGTCTCACTTGTTAGCACACACTAGCCAAGTTAACAACGTACAATAAAACTTACAACTTCAAAAACCTCACAATATTAACCAACGACAAAAAACCTACTATTGTGATTATGACAGGCAGGAAATGATAATGCCACCAGCTTTTGAATTCGTTAACAATTCTATGTGTACCGCAGTTGTAAAAATTCAATTACAAATTTTCCCGGGGGAAAACGATACGCCTGCCCTGATGTTTTCTAGACGTCTGCATTGATTTTCAAACCGTAAACATTTGTCTCCCATAGTTCTACAGCCTTAGTAAACTATGGGAAAGATAACTCGCTTTGACTTTTCTCCGATGTTGGGGAATCTTCCAGAACCTGTCCGTGTAATCTTGAATGGGACAGTAAAGCGCAGTAACAATAGCTTCAAAGTTAGCCCGTGGCATTAAACTTCACCGAATGTCGCCATTAAGCGGAGGTACAGCGTTCTTCATCGAGCTTATCCCATTATGCCGCCTGCTGCGCATGCGTTGTTTATCTGGGACGTCCTCCTCAAAAAATGGCCAACTATTCTTGGTCTACTCTAAATTATGTTTTTTATTTCCTACGGCGAAACAGCGGGGAGTGGGTGAAGGTTTGAACATTTGGTTTGATTTTTTCTTGGTTATTTCAAATATTTTTTTGAAGCAACTTAACTTCAAAACAAAGAGTAATTTTAATTATTTTTTTTAAACGCTACGTTAAATTTATACAAACGGTGGAAATCATAGTGTTATCAATGTTAAATTAAAAGACACTGGCTGAAATATTTGCTAAACACGTGGAGTCATTTGTATATGTAGAGTCTGTTTTAAACTGCCGGATCTCAGAGCCTAAATTTTTACCCCCCCCCCCCCACACACACACACTAAAAAATATTTGCTTCAGATATTTTTGCTTCTTGTACCGTGCTGTGATCCTAGCTCTACAGAGAGCGGTATGAATGTTGGCCTGATTTTTCCATGTTGCCGTCTGACAGGTTTATAATGAAACACGTCACTCGCGGTGTCGGGGGTGTTCCTCAACTGGTGTACTGAAAGCGCATGCGCCAACCCCGAACACAAAATAGAGGTTGTTTTAAAACAAAAAACGGAAACTTTGCAGTTGGAATAAATTGTATTGTCAGCGTATCCACGAAAAATGTTTAGTTTTCAAATAGTTAATTGGTTTTAGGAGACAAAATATTTTAGTGTTGGAGGGATAAATATTTATCGAAACAAACCTGTATTTTTTTCCAAAAATGTTTTCCCCTATTTTATCTCACACAAGCTCTTGTCATTTGAACAAATCATTCTTTTTTTCCCTTTAGCTCCTACAAAAGCTCCATGACATATAACAAATGTTTTTCTCCTTTAGCTCCTACAAAAGCTCCATGGCGTGTGTCCGACACTTAAGACAGCAGTGTCCTGTGTACGAACACCGAGTCATTGACGCCGCTGTTGACGCGGCCCTGCTTGGGAGTCAGGCCATCCTGCATGACCTGTGCTCAGATGACAGCCTTATAGAAAGTAAGTTCTTGGCCATCTCAGTTTTTGGCCATGTCAGTTTTGGCCATCCTGCATGACCTGTGCTCAGATGACAGCCTTATAGAAAGTAAGTTCTTGGCCATCTCAGTTTTTGGCCATCTCAGTTTTTGGCCATGTCATTTCATAGGACGTCACAAGAACAGGTGAAATCTACTTCACCTATTCCAAGGACCGTCAGGTTCGAAAGGGTAATTATATCCGTTTTTAAAGAAAAAAAACCTTCACTTTTTTTAAAAGACATGTGTTAGTGTGCTACTGGCCATTACTCTCTCTCTCTCCCCCCCCCACCCTACCATTGAATGGGTGATGTAAATAAATACAATAAATACCATCCTATTTCTACATTTTTAAAGGGCTAATTGTTTTGACCGCCTAAAAAAAATCTAAACCTACGCGCTTAAAAAAAACCTGGCTTAAAAAAAAAAAGTAGTCCAATGACGTCACCGGAAGTGAATTAGAAGGACGGCTCGAGTGACATGCGCAGAACTTGGTCAATGCCCCAGTGGAACTAGCACCGCCAATTAAAGACTCCACTGGCGGTAATTTATCAGCTAAATACGTCACACCGTCTGCTTTTGTTCTGGTTTAACCCCAGCCCCACCCCCTTTGCCCCCCCCCCCCTGCTCACGTGACATGGAACTGTTGAGTGCAGACACCTTACACGTGATAGGTTATATTTATATACAAATATATAGGTTATATTTATATACCTATATATATAGGTTATATTTATATACCTATATATAGGTTATATTTTAGGCGAGTTGATGTTTCAAGATGGCGTCCTACTAGAGCCCCCCACCCCCCCCCCCCCCCCCCAGACAATCCGATCAATCCAAGGAAGTGAGAGACTCCTGTCTGGCGCATTGTGTTCTACTGTAGGGGCTCGTCAGTTACTCTACTCGGACCTTAACGGTTTGGGTTCAGTCAAGGGGAGGGGTAAATTAGAGATGGGGTTGGTCATTAATGCTGAGTTAGAGATGGGTTGGTCATTAATGCTGAGTTAGAGATGGGGTTGGTCATTAATGCTGAGTAAGGGATGGGGTGGTCATTAATGCTGAGTTAGAGATGGGTTGGTCATTAATGCTGAGTTAGAGATGGGTTGGTCATTAATGCTGAGTTAGAGATGGGATTGGTCATTAATGCTGAGTTAGAGATGGGGTTGGCCATTAATGCTGAGTTAGAGATGGGGTTGGACATTAATGTTTAGTTAGTCATTAAAGCTGAGTTGACCTGGTCGATGAGCGCCAGGGTGTGTAGCTTGGAGGGGGTGGGTGGGGTCCCAGGGGTGGGTGGGGTCCCAGGTGCGGGTGGGGTCCCATTGGTCTCTTATAGTCGCGAGTCAATGCTAGCCGCCCCCCCCCCTCCCAATCAACACACCAACTGCTGTGTTGAGACACACTCCCCATATAAAGTGTAAGCATGTAAGAGAGGCTCCCCTCACTGTGTACCAACACCTGTAAGATACCTGCACTTTACCGAACATGCCCACCCCCTCACAACGTAGAGTCTTATCTGAAGAAAAAAGAAGCAACTTTAAAACAGCACACGTAACGCAGCACAACCTGTCTAATAATTCCTTGTTGTATTTATTTGAATTAATTACATCCAATCACAACCTTGGCCTAAAAATAGTACCAACCTGTCACGTGCTCCTATCATGGCGGCTTCCGTACGTAAACAATTTTTTTTAATATCGTGTTTTCTAGTCTGTGTTTCCTTAGATAACAGTTAATGTTGGGTTACTGGGGAACATGTTCCTTTTTGCTCGGTGTCAGGGCAGATACTGGGGCGTTCAGATACACCCCCTCCCCAGTTTTCTTAGGGTCCCTTCGCCCCTGTTTCTCTCAGACATTTTGCTTCAGGGGAGGGTGGCACCTCAAGCGTTCTGGGGTGGGGCGGACAATGGTTGAAGGATGTATTTTCTAATTAAATTATTTTTTCTCCAAGAAGGGAGAGGGTTGTGCTCCCCCCCCCCCCCACCCCAAGAAATGACTGATCCAACTGACCATGTGTGACACATATGTGACACATTAACCGACATTTTGTGACATAAGAACTGCCATTTTTTTTACATGTTTTCATCTCTCACACCTTTGTCCCCAACCTCACATGTTTTGACCGATCACACCTCTGTCCCCACCCTCACATGTTTTGACCGCCTCTGTCCCCACCTCCCACATGTTTTGACCGATCACACCTCTGTCCCCACCTCCCACATGTTTTGACCGATCACACCTCTGTCCCCACCTCCCACATGTTTTGACCGATCCCACCTCTGTCCCCACCTCCACATGTTTTGACCGATCACACCTCTGTCCCCACCTCCCACGTGTTTTGACCGATCACACCTCTGTCCCCACCTCCCACATGTTTTGACCGATCACACCTCTGTCCCCACCTCCCACATGTTTTGACCGATCCCACCTCTGTCCCCACCTCCCACATGTTTTGACCGATCACACCTCTGTCCCCACCTCCCACATGTTTTGACCGATCACACCTCTGTCCCCACCTCCCACATGTTTTGACCGATCACACCTCTGTCCCCACCTCCCACGTGTTTTGACCGATCACACCTCTGTCCCCACCTCCCACATGTTTTGACCGATCACACCTCTGTCCCCACCTCCCACATGTTTTGACCGATCACACCTCTGTCCCCACCTCCCACATGTTTTGACCGATCACACCTCTGTCCCCACCTCCCACATGTTTTGACCGATCACACCTCTGTCCCCACCTCCACATGTTTTGACCGCCTCTGTCCCCACCCCCACATGTTTTGACCGCCTCTGTCCCCACCCCCACATGTTTTGACCACCTCTGTCCCCACCCCCAGGCTATGCAATGCACCAATCCTGCTTCACCAATGCCGGACCGGCGTCAGAGAAATGTTTCCTGGAACATCTCAACGACTTCACTTCCGGCAACAAGATCCGGTTCCTAACCAAAGTCACGTACAGAAAGAAGGAACATTTTTGCCAGTAAGTGCCTCAATGCCCAGCAGTTGACAACCCACCGCGTTCATCATGAAACCACACCAATGGTTTAAACCTGTTACACGACAATTACAAAATATCATGTGGCTAGGATAACGTTTCAGGGGTGTATTGTTTGAGTGAAGTTTGACAAAGATTACAGACGTTAGACCTAAACAATTAGTGAGTACTGGAACCTTAGTGGGAGGTGGTACCTTACATGACGTCAAGGGCATGTCACAACTCAACAGTTTGAAAGTTGGTACCTATGACGTCATGGACATTAATTTTGTGTGTGTTCCACAGCAAAATGCGGGCCACGGTTGAGTGCGTCAGGCGGCGCATCAACATGACGTGTGGGGCTAAGGCCATCCCCCTGTCCGAACTTTTCGTCAAGACGATGGTCAACGAGAGCTCCCAGTGTGACTACACCGTCCCCAACCCATCCAACCATCAACCTATGGTGAGTACCAACCCATCCAACCTATGGTGAGTACCAACCCATCCAACCATCAGCCTATGGTGAGTACCAACCCATCCAACCATCAACCTATAGTGAGTACCAACCCATCCAACCATCAGCTTATGGTGAGTACCAACCCATCCAACCATCAACCTATGGTAAGTACCAACCCATCCAACCTATGGTGAGTACCAACCCATCCAAAAAAAAAAAACAGCTTATTATTGTAGGCAGTGTTTCTTTCGGGCATCTTCTACCGCCTCTCCCCCCACCCCAACGAAATATAATTTATACAGGAAATAAATACTTTTACAAGTGCCCCCCCCCCCCTTTCCAGAGAAAGAAGTCTGAAAGAAACACTGAAATAAATAAAGCTTTATTTCACAATAACCTACCCACCAATCTTTACAATCACGCAACGCAACAATCACCAGTCATACATCAAGGATTGAATTGTTCGTCCTGGTGTTTAAGTGCCAAGATAACTAGCCAATCACGGCCTGCCACGTAACGTCGCCCATCATATCCCGGAAGTGACGCCCCAGTTGTAGTATGCGCCACCGGAAATGGGAAATGGCGGTCGCTGTTTGGACTAATAAAGGGCGTTAAGCCCATTTCCGTGCAGCAGACGACGAGGAAAACTATAAAGATGCTAACTCAAAATTTTTCTTCGATTTTTTTATTGGCTGCAAAGTTGGGAGGATACTGGCTTTACTATGGAGTACTGTACCTTGTTGTACTTGAGTGTTGGGGGTTGTATTACAACTTGTGTGTATGGGGTGGGGGTGTGGGGTCGGTGTAGATGTTTCTAATCTAATTTTCTGAAGTCTTGGGTATGGAGGTGCCACGTGATCAGGGGGCGTGGCTTCCTGCTGGAGATTTCATTTTCAACGTGTCGTTCGGCTTGATTGATCCAGGCCATCAGATGACATCGATCTGCTGTTGGCTGAGATAACAATTTGTGGGAAAGCAGAGGGGGGGGGGGGGATATAACAATAATGAGTGGAATGATAACAATTGTCGTGGAGAAAAAAAAATATTAAAAGGACTGGCTTCCACTGTCAAGTTTTGTCAATAAATGATCAATAAGTTACGCATGCTGTTGTTATACGCTGATAAAAAAGTCATAGTTGGTAATATCACCTCGGTTTTCCAATGTGTGTTTTATACAGGCTATTGGGGTGTAAGTCTAGTATACCTTCTTCTGAGAAACTATTTGAAAAGCTCAGCTAGTTTCGATGTCCAATAGGTTTTTAGACAAAATTCTTGGAAAAAGTATGGCTTTAATAATAGCTCGGCGATTCGTTGATAAAAAAAACACTTCTGAAACACTGTTTAAGCGATTTAGTCTCCTGAATATTTTTAAAATAAAAACTTGAAAGCGAGCAGTTATTTATCAAGGGAAGCAACCCAAGTAATATTTTATTCCTATTAGTTCTGCATAGTTTCCTCCCTTGGATAACATCTTTTTAAAATAGAATTTATATTAATAAATTACCAACAATTATGAATTATTTTTTCAAATTATACACTATCCCATTACTAATATTTTATTCATTATAAAATGTTTTTATAATAAAATGTCTAAAATTGAATAAAACAATGAAATTTCACAGTAATTTCCATAAAGAAATCTTTTTTTTAAAAATCTGCTATAATTCTCAATCTGCAAGAATAATTGTCAGCTATTAAAATATCCGACATGCCACGAAGTAAAGTCAACAGCATCTTAAAATGATGTTTTTTTTTTATTTTCACCAGCCAACAAACAAACCTATCTCAAAGAGCACCCACATCACAGATAAGGGGAGATCAGGAGGAGTAGGCAGTAGTCTGAAGGGAGAGAACACCGGTCAACAGCTGGGATATGTGCCAAGTCTTGTGGTTCTTTCTGCTTTTGTCTCCTTATTTGTTAGACACAGAGGACTGGAGTTATAGTACAGATTGTTTGTGTGTATATATGTTTATGTATATTTAAATGTTTATGTATAATATTTATATGAATTGTGTGATGTGTGCAGGTCTACACAAAATGTTAGCCATTTTATTATTTTAATTAAAATGTTTTTCTTTTTATTATTTTAATTTAGATATTTTCACTTTTATTTTTTAAATAATTTCCCTTTTCATTATTTTAATAAAATTGCTTCTATTAATTTAATAAAAATGAATTCAAATGTCGGCCAAAAATTAAGCCCTGTCATAATTTTACAATTAGGCCTGTAAGAATAGTAAAGGAGTTTTGTCTAAAACTTTAGTTGAGCAGAATTTTTGCTTGAAGAAAACTTTTTTTTTTTTTTTTTAAAGTTAAAAGTAACTCAAAATACTATTGAGCTAAATTAAAAAAAAAAAGTTAAAATGATGGTTAGTACCTGGCTAACTAGATCTATATCTTTGTTTATTTTAACTATTTTTCAACAGCAAAATAAAAATTTAAACTGTGGCCAAACAAGTTTTCTTTTTACAATTTAAGAGCTCTTACCTCTCTAGTTTTGATTGAATATTTACTAAAACTTAAAAAAAAAATTACTTACAATCTAACTTCACCACAGGTAATTATTTTGAACTTTTCCTATACATTATTTTTTTTAGAATTTGTAACAACTAAAATTAGAACATAACATGAATAAAATATGAAATCTAAAGTAAGCCAAAATAATTTTCTGCTGAAGAGCTAGTCAAGTTGGGTCTGCCCTGAGGAAAAATTAATCCCTACTGGCAATCAGCTCTAAGTGTTACACATCCCAAAATAGTGTGAGTCATCATCCATATCCTTAGTCTAAATCTTTAATTCCATCAAACTAATACCATGAAATGATTACAATAATTTAGCAATAACTTTATGCAGTCAGGGTAAGCACTGTCAAAATATTTGATTTGTAATAGATAGCACTGATTCATTGATGCTTTGTTTTGGTCAGTGGTTCTAAAATGTATAACATTGTCCCCAGAATGGAAGAGTGTTATGTACTGCTTTGTTTGTTCATTTGTGTGTTGCTAGTTTATGTGATTGACATATGAGAAATGTAATACATGTGAAAATAATTTGAGTTTGCTTGTAAATAATATTTAAAATATATTTTTTTTTATATTTATACTAGATGCTAGTAGTATATTTTAACCAAATTAAAATATATGTGCATAAGTCAAAGTATTTTATTAACTTCTGTAGTGATGTATTCGATGATGGCAATTGTCCTTGTTTTTCACACTGTTTTGTCCTGTTAATGTTTTGTTTGGGCTGGGCATAACATCAGATGCATTGTAAATTAAGACCTAGATCTAATATTGTTTTTTTTTGTTTTGTTAATTTGCTGTGGATAATCAAGTTTTCTTTCTGTAATGTATTCAGACTATTTTGAATCAAATGCAATTTTCACTTTGCTAAAATCTTTTTAAAATAATACCTGAGAATAAAAACAAATATTATTTTATTGCAATATTTTTTTTACTCAAAGTGTCAAGTAATTTTTTTTACAATTATGTGGATAACCTGATATGGATAGTTTTTAAGACTGTCCTATGGAGAACATGGCTCTAGATCTGCTGATATGTTTTATGAAGATGTAAATAATTTTTATCTTGTTTTTCACAGAATTTGAAAAATGTGATTTGTGTTTGCTTTTTATTTTAAAGAAATAATTATATTGAAAAGGTAAAAGCAGCTAGAGCTAGTCTCTATATGATCAATGTTTCATCTTGTTTGTCGATTTTGTTTTATTTTAGGTTTTATAGAAACAGTTACATTTAAATAGTTGTTTTTTTTAACATTTTTGTTTAAAAATAATTTCCCATTTAATTATGTTAATCAAAACCAATATGCAAATAAACTAATCAACTCCAATGGGGGGCCATTGGCATCACTTGTTTGTAAACATTTCAATAAAGATGGCTGGTGACACCAGGTTTAAAACTACTTTGTTTTGTGTCTTTTAAAAACCTTAATTCAACATCTCACTACTGAAAACAAAGCTTATAATATGATCAGCATTGAAACTGATATCCAAATATCAACATCAACATTTTTGAGATTACAACTTTGTATCCAAAAATTAACATAACCTTTCAGGTGTAAAGAATGATTGATTTGACCTAATGACTTTAGTCTGATGAGGGACTCTTGTTTACTAAAAATAATTTAATAATAAAAATGGGTGCTGCAGTTTTTCTTTGGAAAAAAAGTTCATTGTTTATATTCATAGAATAGTTGAATGATTATGTTTAGCCTACATAAATGGATGCTATTTACAAAATGAAAAAAAAAACATTAAAAAAACATTTTGCAGACAGTAAATGAAAATGGTGTAATTTGTACTAAAAACAGAATTTGTAAATATAAATGGTGTAATTTATACTAAAAACAGAATTTTACGCCTTGGTATGAAGGAACTGTAAAGTGCCTGCACTTTTAAATAATCAGAACACTAATACGACTATTACAGCAGCTTTCCTGTGGGCCCACCGAATTTTTTTCCTGGGGCCCACCAGGTTTTTTTCCGGTAGACCGACGGGCCAGTCCACACAGACATAAGCCTGGAAGCCAATATAAATCTAAATGACGTGACTAATTGATTAAAATAGTCATATTTTCATGTTTGGTATATCCTACTCTAGATAGGGGCCAGCAATCATACGTGCAAGGCTTGCACCGAACACTCCATTGCCCCATTGCTAAAGCGTGAGGACCACCGTGAGCCCCATCAAGCCCCGGACACCGCTATCACTATCATCAGCCATCATGATCGACAGTGACCCATATCTCATCGCCAGCCAATCGCTGTGCGCTACGTGTATTCTTACCTCCTCTTATCGAGAGCTCGACATAAGGCCACGTCCACTATAGGTAATTAACTATTACCATCACCTGCCACTTCAAAAGGAAAATATTATGTATTCATTACATCGGTTTTTGTCTGGTAGAATGTAATTTAAGTAATGTGGTAGCACGTGTGTTTACACATGGGGGCGGGGCTTTGATAACTAGCACGCGCACTGGGTGAAAGTTGGGACACGTATTTTGTAGTGACGTGTTTTATTGGGAGTAGGGGGGGAGGCATGGGATGGGCCCAGTGGTGTTGTAGTGCTGGGGGGGGTCATGGGATGGGCCCAGTAGTGTTGTAGTGCTGGGGTTTAATTCTGCTTGGGTCACTCCGACTGGCCAGAGGTTTGTCCTAGTTAAAGATCTAATTATAGTATGTGTAGCATTGCGTCATCACGGTCATCAACGTGATAACTATTAATAAAATGTCCCCAAATAGGTCGCATTGACCCTTAATTACCCTTGCACCGTCACGCCGACCATAAATTAACCTTGCACCGTGTAGTCTCCACAATAAGGTAAACGATGAACTGTGATGTGTCCACAATGACATCCATGTCATGTGTAAATGACATTCCTGGATGCTGTACGTTGTACATAAAATAAACCATTACATTCACGTTTATCCTCCATACTGACAGAATGTAATGTGGCCAGCACACTGTTGCATAGAAAACGAAATAATAAAATAAACAATCTTTGTTGCTAGTAAAACCGAACAAGAGATGAATTAATTTCAATCGGCGTATTGATATTAGCCACCCACACCGGCCTATTCGTAAACCACAAAGCATGAGTAACTTTTCCTATTTTGCAGATATAGCGTTAAAAATAGCATAATACTCTCTAAGCCATAACGCTTTACAACCGGAAGTTTCCATACACTTGTAATACAAAGTTTCGTTAGATGACTGAATCGTTTAGCTTTCTAACTTTGTTCTGGAGAGCACTTGTTTTTGTGTCGTTACACTGACAGCAAATTCAACCTTAGGACTAATCTGTTTTGCTAAACGGAGGTAGATCTACCATGCACCCAAATAAACTCAGGCGGGTCCTTTTTGTTCTCTTACCCCTCATGCTGGTCCTGGCAATATTTAGTAACATTTACATAACACTTAAAGCCTTTACAAGTCAGTCGACGGCTTCAAAGCCGCCCAGGATAAAATTCCGGTACCATTTGAATGATGAGCCTAGCGAAGAAAATAAGAAATTGCCTTATTACTCTAGGCAAACCCTGTTGCCATTCGATGCCCGTGACCTTTTGATCCCCGGGAGTTATGAAGAAACCATGACTAAAATGCTCATGAGAATTCGACGGAAGATTATCATCAATGACTATTCTTTTAAATTCCATATCAGCCCGCGACTTATCTGCGACAAAAAGGTCATTGACCTCGTTCTGTGTATCACCGTGCCCGTTGACCAGTTCCAGGAGCGTGAAGATCTCCGGCAGACGTACCGGCGGAAAGAGCAGCTTCTCAGAGACTCGCTTAACGTCGTCACCATCTTCGTGGTGGGCGAGCCAAGTGAGGACCGCAGCATTCAGGAGGGGGTGGAGCAGGAGGCCCGTACCCACGGGGACATCATGCAAGCCGGGTTCGTGGACACGCCCTTGACCGCCAACATGAAGACACTGGCGGCCCTCAAGTGGGTCAACACCTACTGCTACAACGCCACCTTCACGGTGAAGACGAGCGACGAATGCGACATCAACATCCCGCTGGTGCTGACAGAACTCAGGGCCAGGAGACAGAAGACGCCGGTCTTCATGCTGGGCAAGATGGCCACCAGTCAGATGAAGAACCCCAACACCACTGGCCTACACCTCCCAGACGACACCTACCAGCTGGAGAAGTACCCCGACTACCTGTACGGTGCCAGCACAGGCTACCCCACAGAGGTGGGCTACCTGCTGTACGAGGCAGCTCTAAGACTGCCACTCTTTCAGTCAGAGGAGATCTACTTCTCCGGCATCTGTGCTGCATTCATCCACATACCACGTTATGACTGCGAGGCATTTTATTTCTCAAACTGTTCCACGCAGGAAGAAATGTTAAGACTTGAATACAGTTAAATACACTGTGAACACACTTGAATACAGTTAAATACACAGTGAACACACTTGAATACAGTTAAATACACAGTGAACACACTTGAATACATAATGGATACACTTTAACACAATTCATTTGCAGATCACCTTTTATTTGTTATTGTATAATCAACAAAATATAACTCAAGGTTTGTGTTTCAAATGTTTGGCCACTTAATAAAATAGATGACTTCTCTCATATTGTGTTTGATCTGGCCACTGATGGGGCATATATCACAAAAACAAATTGTAATTATGTAACAAAATTAACGATACCAAATTAACACCTCTAATAATTGTTGATGTAGAACACCACCAATATTTGGCACAATAAGAGAGAGAAAAAAATTCTTGAGACGTGCTTACAGCATGTGGATATGGTAAGCCAAGCTTTACAATGTCAGAAAAGATACTTGTAAAAAGGGGAGTGGCATTTCATGAAGAGAATATACAAGTTTCATGAAAATAAATATCATGAGGTATTAACCATATGTACAATATAAGGAACAGGAGACTCCAGGCATTAGAAATATTTTAATACAGCATTTGTCATACACACTTAATCCGCACATTATACACACAACCTATCTCATTACACACTCTCCTCATACACCTGACACTTCACACACCAGTCACACCATCACCTGATATTTCAAACACCTGTCACACTATACATCTGAGTGCCATCCTGAAGTGGATGACACCATGAAAGACAGTATTCTTCACATTGGCAATGTCACAATAGAAAACAAAATCAACAACAGAGGTTCCCACACTAGCATTACTAGCTCCCTCTGACTCAGCAGGGCAAGCAACTCTTGCTCAACTCTACCAAGACAGCTACACCTAGGGTAAATATCTCATACAACTAAATAATTTTAAGCTAAACTTTATAAGGTTTTACATTAGAATCAAAATTAAGTAGGGAGAACCAAAAATATAATGAAATTAAAAAAGGTATTAATTCAATAGCAAGTTGGATCTCAACATGAATAAACAAATAAAATAAGTAGGCTAACAAGACAACTACAATCATAGACCCAGCCACCACCACTAACTATGTCCTATCTACTGGAGAAGACATTCAACTAGCTGTTGTATTAAAATATCTAGCTATACTAGAATATAACTATAGTATGTACATCATATGTTCAGCATCTTTCTTTCACAAATATCACAACTTTGTTTAGGTCTCTAGCTTAAAGAGATCTAAAGGTATACATTGTAGTGTTCCATAGAAAATGTTTGAATGTGCAGATACACCCTATACCAGTGCATCAAATTTTAAAAAATAACAAGTTTTTGATATTCAAATAAAGGATGAAAAGAATAAGCTGGCTAAACAAAGGGAAGCAATGTCATTAGTTTCAATAAGGCACTAACCAAACTGAATGCCTGGCCTAAAAAAACAGCTGAGAAGAGTTATCACACAGGGGAAATTAACCATCAAGTTTTATGAACACTGGGTGTAAGTGATGACTTGGTTGCCTACACGCTGCGTCACCTTAGTACACCTCTGCTGTCCTGAAAATAAAACAAAAATGTCATTTGAATCAATTTGATTATATTGAAAAATAAATCTAATTGCTTACAAACAGTTACCATCACACTTACTTACACTTAACAAAAATAATGCAACCGTCAAAATATTTAACAAGAGGAGCAAATTATTCCAGTAAATAAATTACTAACTACTAATTATTACATGTACTCAAACTACAAATGAATTTAACAAAAACTATCTTACTGTTCTGAGAGAACTGCTGATGATGCATGCTGTGGTGCATATTATGGTGCAAGTCATGGTGCCTCTGGTGGTGATGGAAGTGATGGCCTGAGTTGTGGGCCCTGTCGTACTTGTTGTGCCCAGAGAAGAAATCATCAAACATATCATCACCAAAACCACTATCAAATGCAAAGTGACCTCCAAAACCACCACTAGGTTTTCTGTGTCCTCTGAGAGAATCGAAGACATCGTCTTCATCATCATCATGAAACAGATTATCAAAATCAAAGAAACTTCCTCCGTTGCCAAAGTTGTTGAAGTGCTTGAAGCCATCGTTGCCATGGTGTTTATAGTGATGACCTCTGTTGTGCATGTTCATTGCCTCGTCAAACTGCTTGAAAAACTGTTGGAAATCAGCATGTTGGAAGCCTCCACCATGGCCACTGTTTGCATTGAAACTGTCATCCCCATTCATGTCATACTGCTTTCTCTTCTCTGGATCACTTAAGATTTCATAAGCTGCAATAGAGAAAGAAAAAACATGATTGATTTATTATTGCTTTAAAAATCTAATAATTATTGAAGCCTACAATCTTATGTTATTTGGAAGTATGATTTTTTTTCTTTGACAGTATAAAAAGTGAAATGCAGCTACGGCTAGATTGTTTAGTCTCAGAACTTGAAATAGACATTTATAACAAGCCAATTTAAAGTTAAAACAAAACATTTTGAGACAGTGATGATCTTCTAAAATTAAATTTACGAGCCGACCCGCGGCGTATCATACGCCTCTATTTAGTTGTTTTATTTTCTACTTTTCAGTAATTCATCAATAGTGAATTCGACAGTACCAATGCTGCCACTGAAAATATTTGCTTTTAAACACTATCAGTATCTCGTTAAAGATGATACCCCCCCCCCTTTCCCCAACCCCTACCCCCCCCCCCCCCGTGAAAGCAAACTCCTCTTAGTTACCTCGCCTAAGTTTAAAATCGTTTCAAACTAAATTATCTGCCCCTAATAGCCGTCACTAAACCCGGCTCTATGATTGTAAACATTTAGCGTGAACCACAGCTCACCAGACCATCACATGTAGGGGTGGGGGTGGTAGGGAGCGCGCTTACATCTTGTTTTCTAATGTCTCCAAGAAGAGAATTATATATATAGATTATGGATCTAATGTCTAATAAAATAAGCTGTTAGTAATAGTAAGTATGCAGTTTACACTCTAGTCTAGAGTGCTTCTATTACTAAATACAAATACTGTGTGCACAGTCTATATTTTATAATACTGTAACTGGTAACAGTACTACACTAGTAAACATAAAAATAAAATTTTTAAAATATAACACTTGAACTGAACTTTTAGAATTTTAAAACAGTAAGTAACTGTAACTTGAGTAGACCTAAACAATTAACAAACTGTTCTAACAACAGATGAGAACAGTAACCACAAAACTAAAATCTAAAACCACGTACCTTTACCAATCTTTAAAAACTTCTCTTCCGCACCCTTTTCTTTATTTTTGTCTGGATGATATTTTAAAGCAAGTTTCCGAAAAGCCTTCTTGATTTCCTTGTCACTTGCCGATTTACGAACTCCTAGAATTTTGTAATAGTCTTCTGCGGCATTGGCAACGACGAGAATCGCCAAATAAAGCGCACACACCACCAAGTAGTTTGGATAAAGATTCATTCTTTGATTCTGCAGTACTGGGGAAAAAAACTACTTTTTGATCAGATCTCTAGTCAACACTTTTCGTATTTTAGAATTAGGATATTATAGATCTAGATAGATCGAGAATCTAAATCCACTGTGCAAACTGAGCGACAACAGAGGCTTGCTTATAATAGAAGAGCAAATAAATACACATTACGTCATGGAAAACTGCCAGTTTAAATGTTCGGAAAAACTGCCAAAATAAGTATTCTAGTTAAAATAAAATCTTGTAGAACATGCAAAAGTATTTCGCCAACCAACAAACTGTGGTAAAGCCTAATTTGTAGAGACATAATCAATCTACGTGTAGGCTTAGATATCATAGTTAAACTTGAAAATAAAAGTTATGTATTATATTCCCTTATATATCACAATCCACACAATATCTATTTTCTTGTTCAATTATCTATAAATGATGATAAGTGAGTAGAGTATTGGCTCTAGAACATAAGCACTGAATAATTTCTCTTTCTAATTTGTGGCGGTTTAATTAATCTAGGCCACAATTAAATAATTATCAATGCATTGAAATCATTCATATTTCGTTTAAAACAAATTTGCCAGTATGGCATATTGACCAAGAGTAGAAAAAGGTACACGACAACACATTTTATTGGCTAAGTTAGTCACATGATGCGGAAGCTATTTTTATTTTATTATTTTTTTCCCCCAGAAGATGATAAACAATAATGGCCGACCCTGTCGAGGATTTACTACCGTTACTAGGAATCAATCAACCCATTGACGGAGAGGATTCGGATGACACCGAAAGTGGCGAAACATGCTCAGGTGCTTTGATTTAAAGCAAAACTTTTTTTGCATGCTACATTAGGGCCAAGGAACGTCATAGAAAAAAATGAGCGATTTTTTTTGGATGGAAATGTCAGAATCAGATGTACTCACTCAGACTCAGTCACTGAGTCACATGATAGCTACTTGTCACTTGATACTAATACTAGATTCTCTATTTGTAACAACACAGTCTGTAACTGACCTGTACTCAACTGCACTGGTACTAAAACTCCATTTTAGCGTATTTTATTCCCCGCTTCACGTTCACCTCCAGTTGAGCGTATTTTATTAAATTTTATTATAACCACAATCGAAACACTCGTTATAAATAAATAGGCCTTTACACTATAGTTATAAAATCAGTTAATTACTAAACTAGAATACATAATTACATAATATAATAATTTGCCAATTATTTCTGAAAATATAATATTTTTTATTATATATCATGCCTTGGGCCATCCATAAATCTTCTGTATTGTTTAATAAACAAACAATATAGTCACTTAGTGCCTGGTCGGTATTAGACTAGACCTAGAATAACTAGATTACATGTTATAGTGAATAGACTAGCTTATTAGGCAACAGTACTAGAATTTGATAAAATTTACAGCTTTAAGGCCTATGAGTTACACCAGAACTTGCCAGAAGTAAGTGGTAATAAAATAATATAAAAACTTTTTAAAGTGGTATGTAATTTATTGTAATTAGCTAGCTAAGAGTAAGAGTTATGATGACTTTTATGTGATCTTGGCATTTAAGCCTCCAACATCTGCAACCCCAAACTATAGAACAGTACGTACACACCTTATTAAATAACAAAACTCGATATCTTAGCAATCCAGTTTTTAAATAAGTAAATATAAACTATCCGCCTCTTAAGGCTAAGGGCTAAATTATCAACACTTTTATTTCATATTGTAAGCGTGGAAAAAGTATGTAAAATCAAGTGAAGTGTTTTTTCACTCAAACAGTCTGTAAAAACCCACCCTCACACCTTCACCTTTTCCAGAATCGGCAATTAGATTAATACAAAATGGCGTCGTAAGAGGTTATTAATAAGGTTGTTTCCACAGTCAATGGTTTTTTTCCATATTTAATTTATTATACAATTATATTTTTATTTAATAGTGAAGATTTAAAAAAAAAATATATATTAATAAAGTTAAAACAGACGCACCTGCTTTAGTTTATTCGTCCAAACCCTATGGCTTCAAAGCAGCGAGAACAAGACTTCAAGAATCGAACTGTCTGTATTGCTAATTAGTAAAATTCTAAAATTCTAAAGAAGCTTATTTAATTTAGTTTTTTGCCTAAGTAGTGTAGTAAGTAGTAAGGGTAACCATTTCATATTTATTTTAGATGATCAGGAAGATGATATGGTTGACGATGAAGAGGAAAATGGACAAAATTTAAATTCTGATAATGAAGGTGGTCAAAAGGCCAGAAAGAAGCAAGAAAAACCAAAGAAGCGGATGTCTCAAGTTTTAGTAACATATGACAAGTCTCTCCCATCCGCTCATTCAGTATGTATGTTGATATATTGTATTACCTCCTGTTTCTTATTTGAAACAAAAAATTACTACAAGACACACTGAGTCTGAAGCCTGACTGTGAAATATATTAAATTGCTTGTATGATCATTTCTGATAGAAAATGTTTTTTAAAAATCTAACTCATTTCATCAACTTAAATGTATAATAGTCACTTAAATTTTATTACAATAAAAATAGACAGTTTGTTACATATTTACTTGAAATAGTATCTTGGAAACGACCTTGAAGATGTAAGGGGAAGAACCATATTGGAGGAAAATTCTGTTGTTACAATGCCATTGCTGCTCCTGCCAGGAGTTGTGTTGGTCCCTGGTCAGGTGATCCCGCTACAGCTGTATCAGCAGCGATTGGTTGCCATGGTGAGACGTGTGGCAGACAAGGACAAAACATTTGGTGTTGTCAACATGGGGTAAGCTCTGGGGTAGGCTCTGGGGAACTTGTAACATGGGGTAAACTCTGGGTATTACGTACCTCTACCACTGGTAAAGATTATGCAATACCCGGATTCGTTTTGGATGGTCTTAGACTGGTGACTTAAAAACTAAAAGGATTACCAAACAACAAAAACTCTCTGTGGACTCGAATATAATGTCTAGGGTAAAAACACACACAAAGACCTTCTGCAACTAATAATACTTTTAATCAATCTATACCCTTCTAATAAGTAAACAAGTCTAAATAATAAATAGCTATGTAAAGAAAGACCCAACTTACGATTCAAAGAATAACACACTGAAACTACTAACACTGGGTAAGGTACCTAAGTAATCAACACAACCTACACATTATCAAAATAAGACACAGAAAAATACTGAATTCACTGGAACTTAGAGATAATTGCTACTTAATCTAGAATTATAACACAGCGTCATATGTGGCTCTCTCTCCTGTGGATATCTAGTGGGCTTGCGCGCGAGGAAAATTCCTCCTTTATATACGACACCAAAATTATGGGATGTCGACCTCAATATCAAGGACCATTGGGAGGAAGTAGCCAAAGCACGAGCCACACAAACTCAGTGAATACTATCACATGAGCGTGATGGAAAATTTCTTTAGTTTGAACAAACAGTTAGCTCAAGGCCATTTAAAATTTCATAAAATTAAACAATTAAAAAAAGAAGACCTAAGTAGGTCACATGGGGAACTTGTAACATGGGGTAAGCTCTGGGGAACAGTGTCAGGGAGTGCTTGACTTTATGGCATGCTATCTTTTATCTTTTTTTTTTAATTATTAGGAATTTTGTTTAACTTAATAGACACAAACAAGTTTTTCTTAAGATAGACAAATGAAGCACTACATTTAGAAACTTTTCCTGCAGGAAATCATTTGACGATGATGATCGGCAGAAATCCTCTAGCTTGGGTTGTACAGCAGAAATTTTTTCCATGAAGGAGGAGATGGATGAACAGTCAGGAATTTCTACAGTCCGGGTCAAGGCTAGAGGTCGACAGAGATTTAGAATTGAGGAAATCAAGCATGAAATTACTGGGTAAATTTACATTTTTTTAACATCTCCAAAGGAAGAAAAAAAATTAATTAAAAATGATTAAAACATTTAAAAAGTAAATAAATTTATTACCACGTGGCTATGTTATTGCAACTTAATTACTATGAGACAATATACTGATTTTAAAATATAGTCACTTTTTAAACAGCTTAATGACTTTTTAAAAATTTTTGAAACGGTTCAGGGATGTGATGGCTAGAGTAAGAATACTGCCTGAGATCTCTCTCTGCCACGCCCTGGATGGTGCTAGACTCCCATCCCACTACAAGATTATGGTCTCCCCACCTGATGATTCAGACGACATGATAAAGACGGCCGTAGACAGGCAAGGCAGGGCCTTTGCCTCGGTTGATTTAAGGAGGAAAAGTTTGGTAACCAAGTTGTATTCAGCTAACTACACCTGGTGGCCACCATGGGTCTACAAAATGTATGACATTGTAAGTAGTTTGTTTCAAGTTGTAAATATGATGTATGCCTAATTGTGGTCATGTTTGAAAGTTTGTTGTCATATCTAAAATGTATGACATTGTAAGTATTTTGTTTGATGTTGTAAATATGATGTATGCCTAAATGTGGTCATGTTTGAAAGTGTGTTGTCATATTTAAAATTTGCGATTGATAGGAATGGCTAGCTGAGCAGACGCGAGCAGAACTCCACAGCTGGTGTCCCACATCATTGCCAGATGATCCTGTGGACTTGTCCTTTTGGGTGGCACATAATCTGCCCATTGATGACGAGCTGAGGTTGCGTCTGCTGCAGTTTGACTCTGTTGTCCAGCGTTTGCGGTTCGGGCTCAGTATTATTCGTAAGGTACTAACCAAGTTTTCCTTTCAGTGACTGTAGTAAGCCAACATTTAGTAAATAGGATTAATCTCATTAACTTTAAATATTGAAGGCTTTATAATATAACTGAAATTGTAACTAAAGGTTTTATACATTATGTTAAAGAGTTTGTGGTAATTACTTGCACTACACCTGGTTATCAGTACATTTGACAGCTGTGTAGGCTTATCACAAAATCAGTGCTGAAATACTCAGATTCTGATGATAGAAATCTAATCTCACAGCCAGCATATTCTTCCATTTACTTATACATTTAAACCACATTTCTCTCCCTGTTCTATTAGACTGATGTTCTGTTGTGTTGTCACTCCTGCCATGAAAAGATCGCAAGTAAAAATGATGTGTTTGGTATGAGTCAAGAAGGCCCACTGGGGTCCTATGTAAATCCTGGAGGTTATGTGCATGAGATGTTTACAGTCACAGCAGTACAAAATTTAAACACTAGTGGCCGCTCTTCAACTGAGTTCAGCTGGTTCCCTGGGTGAGAAACATTTTAAATTTGTTTTTATCACATTGTTTAGAGATTTTCAAAAACTTTGAAATGGAAGCAGAGTGACCAGTGACAAAAATTGGTTTTAAATGTTGCACTCTATTTTTATACCCAGTTGAGTTAACCTAAACTCTTTGTCATATGATGTCGTATTGCCTGTATGCAACACTGTGGTGTTTTTAATCAACCGAAAAGTCTCGAGTTCGAACTCTCGGGCAGATGAGGCTCGTTAGCTGGGGACAGCCACTCTTCTAGGAGAGACAACTCCAAAATTAAATAACTGCTGCCTTGTAGTTTGTTCTTGGTTGGACAAAGGCTATGGAAGCAAATCCAAAAAGAAAAGCAGGCTGAAATCGGAGTTAATGGCCTCAATGGCACAAAACCAGTTGACACGTAACGCTTAATTGTGTTGGAGGCGTGGTCGAGTCGGCAAAAAGCTCATGGTTGATAAATTCAAACAAAGTCTCGAGATCAAACGCACTGGCAGATAAATCTCGATCCCCTTCAACACTAATAATTAAGAACGAAGAAGAAGAAGAAGTTAGAATTTTGAGTTGTGGTTTAAAAAGACTTAACATAATAATCTGTCACTAAATTTTCAGCTATGCGTGGACAATAATCAACTGTAAGCAGTGCTACTCACACATGGGGTGGATGTTTACAGCCACAGAGAAAAGTCTTTCACCCCGCAAGTTTTGGGGGCTCTGCAGATCTTCAATTAAAACAAACTTTAGCACTCTAGAGAGTGAGACAGATTCAGAAGAAAATAAACTTTTCATTATGTGAAACAGCCGTAAAAGAAACAGACTAAGTATTGAATTGACTAACATATTGAATAGCTAATTTTGTGAGCTTACGACACGTTTCTTTTAGAAATCATCTAGTGAGCAGGACAACTCGCCAACTATAACAATCATTTTGTGATGCTTGTTTGCCAGGGAAGGGAGTTAACAAAGAAAATATTGTAATAAAGAAAATAAACTCAATTTTTGAGGGGAGATAACTTTCGCAATGTGAATACCTAGCTAATGATAAATTTGTCAAAGTTTGACCAAGCTCAGAAATGCTTGTATGTGTTTGTGCATAAATTGGCTGAAACTTTAGTTGATCGATAGAACTCTTAGGTCACAAAGTTGGTGATGTGTTATGGCAGTTCTCATTCATCTTGCTGCTGTAGTAACCACCAACACTAGTATGTTGTTTCCTAAATCAGTGTGTGTGCTAGCTTAAGCATCTTAGTTTTGGAATATCAATTGTAATTTAATACTACTACACCCATTATGCTAATTAGTTGAAATATTTGCAAAGGACAAATGTGGATGTGTCAAAGAGGCATTACAAATTGTAACAAATTTAATTTATGTTGAGCCATTTCTGAGCTTTTACATTATTTGGCATGTAAAAACATTGTCATTTATTTTTTGAATCTTTAAAATGATAAAGCATATATTTAATTGTAAATAAAGAACATGTAAATAAAATGAAGTAATTATTTGAGCATCAAATTTAGTTACTTTTTACAAGCTTTTATTTAACTCACTTCCTCGTCAGTCGACAGTCTGTCTGTCTAGACGGAAACGCAGGAGTGAAAATTCGGACAGTTCTACTTGACCGACACGATTCACAGTTGGCACGTGGATCAAGACATGAAGACAATGCAATCTGAAACTAAATTTGACTTAATTGGATGCCTAATTGATTTTTTATGAATTAATTAAAATTTGGACCGAATTAGTAGGCATGTCTAGCCAACCACACCACACGCGTCATCAATAGCTGCGCCATCACGACCACGTAATGGCTGCGTTCAAAAACCATTGCGCGCCTACTGAACGTGATATTCAGTAGGCGCGCAATGGTTTTTAGTCATGTAACTCTATTGTAGATAAAACATGTAAAGTACTGAAAAAAAAATTCATAAAAACGTTTTAATAACAAGCTTTTATGTAATGATGCACTAAAAAGTAGAAAATAAATTATAGACTACTATTTAAATAACTATAAAGAAAAGCGTGGGTGTCTTCCTTAACATTAGTAAAGGTATCCAATAGATACTAAAGTGACCCACGCTTTTCTTTATAGTTATTTAAATAGTAGTCTATAATTTATTTTCTACTTTTTAGTGCATCATTACATAAAAGCTTGTTATTAAAACGTTTTTTATGAATTTTTTTTCAAATTGCTCTCTCTGCAAATAAAGAAATGAACTTAATTGCCCATTACCTCATTTCGGAGTTCGGATTATGGTTCCTTGTGAAAATAAACACATCAGGCCCAGCTTGTAAGAAAATAGTTTATTAAAACAATGTAAATTGCGTGCAAAATATTATAAATAAATTGTACATTCAATTTTGAAATTGGGGCACAAAAAAATGTTTAAATAAATTGATCTATTTGTTCTTTTTCTTATTGAACACAAGGTGATATATCTTGTAGATCTAATTTTAGGCAGCTTTCAATAACTCCACATTAACCATCTAATGTTCTACTTTGTTTCTGCATCAAATGGTTCTGGGACTTAAAAGACAAAACCTCTGAATGTTACATGCTGACTCATACAAATAACTTCTAAATAAAAATCAAGCTCACATGCATACAAACATTTTAAGAACATGTTATGTAGGAGCTTAAAATGTAAATCATTACAATTTTAATAAAATAGTTCCATTGCTTACAGGGTTTTTCAGCTCAGGAATGTGATTTGATTCTCTTACAATTGGTTGTATGAGATTTTCTTTAAGAGAATTTTGTGTGTGCAAGTCTCTGATATCTTATTTATACTAGAATTATGCATTACATATAATAAAAAAGAACATATTTTTTCTTAAAGACACAAAATATCAAAAACACACAGTATCAACCTGAACCAGCAGGTCAAGAAATAAAATTGAAGACCTTTATGTCGAACAAAACTAAGTGGAAACTTTGTTCAATACTCTTCTTATAGGAAAAATAAAAACAGCAGACAACATCATGAAAAGTCAATAAACTTTTTCTGATAACAAATTATTGTAGCTTTTAAAATTGTCCTTTTAAAAAAAAATTGAACCATTAAGAGTAAAAACTCAGTAAAATAAAACAAAAAAAGCAAATGAGTTCATATGTTACATCAGGAATGTAAAGAATGGTTTAAAAATATATACAAATCCATTTTCAGAAGCCTAGGAAGTGGTGCATTAAAACACTTCCATATACCAACCTATTATTATCCCACAAAATTACTATCTAAAGTATAATATAAATATGATAATGCTATACAATTCCCTTATGCTTTCAGTCAGATTTTAAAAATTATTTATGACCAAAATGTTTATTATGTTACCACAATGGTACCACTGCGCTTTCTGAAGCTGTTGTTAGTATTATGTCACCACAATGGTACCCTTCTGACTGCGGTTGCTGAAGCTGTTGTTTCTGGTGCAGGTGTAGTTGTAGACACCTGGTTGCCTGATCCTTATCAAAGCACCTTCATAAGAGGCGGGGGCGTTGTCCAGCACGTTGCTGATTGCTGCTTTGGTTGACACTAGGTAGTTGCTGTTGTCTGGTTCATTGCATGTTGTTGCACTAGCACACCTGGAGAAGTCAACATGGTAATTACAATCTATACAGGGCACATGGACTGATTCTCTACTAGTGGAGCGTAGCCCATTTACATTTTCCCATGCTTTTCTGTCTTTATCTTGTTCCATCTCTTTCCAATAGAATTCTTTGGGACTCACATAGATTAATTATGTATGTTTAATTGAAGAAAGTCTTAATTTTTGCATAGTAAATGGAAAGAATCACTATAGATCAAAATTGTTGGTTAAACAAACATTGATTATTGATTCAAAAAGGATATAACTTCTATTTGTGAACATAATGGCATATGTGGACTAAATGTTACATGAGGAATGAAATGATGTGAACCTGGGGAAATATTTATTGTACCTGTAATAGCCGGCTGATGCCATGGTTATGGCCAAGTCCATTGGCTGGATGTTCTTCTTCATGAAATAAATCCACAACACCTCCACATTATTCCATAGCTGGGTTTGTTCAAAAGGGGTTGGAATATTTCCATTTCTCTCTCCTATCTCCACAAAGTTGCTGCGATCAGTGCCTGAAAACCAGGATTTTTAAAATTTATAACACAAAAAAAAAAACTATTAAAAATACAACCCGTATTGCTTTTTCTTCAAATCATAAACATGTCCACATGTATAGACAAGAGTACTTAATTTTTGTTATAAAACCTGACAGAGTATATATTTAAAAACATTTGGTGATGATTATAAGAAACATGTTGATGAGCTCTCACCTCCTTTGCCTTCCCCTGCGTCTCCGGCTTGACCATCCCCAGCAGGGTTGCCATTATTGTGGGTATTTGAACCTGGAATACAAAGTTTGATAACATGAGGGGCTAATGTCAGGCTCTTTCTTCTGCTTATTGGGAGTGTAATTAGATACGTAAAGTGTACATGTACAAAATATCACACCTGTCCACTGTATGTGTACAAGATCCTCAGTCCCCAGCCTAAGGGTGTTGGGTGTAAAATCATACTCCACAGACGGAAAGTTCTGGACAATGTTTCCCCTCTTGCCCCGGACATTCAGGTTGTAGATGTACTGGTTGGTGACACCGTCTGGCCGGGGTCTGATGGTGAACAGGTGACTCCTGTCCTGAAAAACTCTGCCGTACTGCGCAGTGTTGATGGCTAGATGAAGCGGGGACTGTTTGCTCATAACATACACATATGGATTTTGTTTGATAGGTGACACCACAGGGCTAAAATATTCAGAGTTGAGATAGAACTTTCAATTAGATTAACCTAATGATAAAATGAATACATTCATTTTAGAACTCCATTAATTTTAAATTAGGAGCTTAAAAACTCTTTAATTTTTTTTAAAACTGTTATTGATTTTGTCAAAATACAGTGAATTTGTGCATGTTCATTAATGTAAATACTGTGAACTCTGTCAAGAGGATCAAGTACCATGTAACTTACAAATCGTCATTTTTCTTTGAGTCAGTCCTGTAAGGATCGTAATCTTCTGTAGACACATTGTACCTGTTGACAGGAGACAAGAAGATATTTTAAACCCCTCTCAGCTATCAGATTATTATGACAGTTAAACTTTCTAGGGATTACATGACATCCTTAACCATAATTTTTAGCAGGGTTTTGCAAGTACTTTTCTCGATATGTCTAGTTTGAGTAATGAGATGTATTACATACATTTTTATTGATTTCTCTACTTCAAAATGTTTTTATTTGGTTGCTTTGATTAAATAAAATGTACTCTTGTAAAACTATAACAACACAAATAAAGTAAATGGTAAAGGGATTTAAAAGTGATACCTAAATCTGAAGACACACTGCTTGTTCTTTTTTGATGGGAAGTGTGGAAGAGTCCATGTATAGTTGAGGGGTAATCCATCTCTCCCATTGCCTAAGTGGTTGGATCTGACATAAAGTAAAAAAAAAAATTATCAATGCTGCACTTGATTTGATCTGGAAACCAAACAATCTCCCAGGTGAAAAACTAGCCCTGACCTTGACCAAGGTGCCACCTGACAGTCAGGTGCATCAAGCAGGATCAGACACTCAGGTTGGTAACTTGTGCTGTCTTGTGGGACGGCCCATTTGTAGGTCAGACCAGCCTGCTTGCTGCTTTCACAAGTGGACTGGCTTTTCTTGGCTAAAACAAACAAACAAACAAACCATTAAACAACAGAATTTTAACAGCTAGGAATTGAACACCCTAAGGGAAAGTGGCTTATTCTTCATGACAATAGGTTGCTGAAAAGGTAAGACTGTATAATAAAGTAAACCAAATAAGTTATCCACAGAGTATACTGACAACAGCTTAACCAAGTGTATATAACATTTAGTGATGTAAGCTACAGTGTTAGCAATCATCTCTTTAATACTGCTATACAAGTTTTCATATTATCATAGACTCAGAACTTAGAAACTAAAATTTTCCAAAAGATTTATTTACATGTGTCTTTTTCCAAGTAGTTATACATCAGTAGCCATGTGCCGCCATTATCAGTGCAGGCCTTCTCATTGTTGAACCTGCTAGCATTAGGGTATGTTGTACTTACACACTCAGTGTAAGGCTGGACATTAAAACTCTTACTGGTGTAGTAGCTGGAACAAAAGATTGATTTTTTTTATCTGTAGCTGTACGAGGAAGCTTAAAAATTTGCCAAGAATAACTTTAAATCTTCTTCTTCTTCGTTCGTAATTATTAGTGTTGAAGGGGATCGAGATTTATCTGCCAGTGGGTTTGAACTTGAGACTTTGTTCGAATTTATCAACCATGAGCTTTTTGCCGACTCGACCACGCCTTCAACACAATTAAGCGTTACGTGTCAATTGGTTATGCGCCATTGAGGCCATTGACTCTGATTTCAGCCTGCTTTTCTTTTTGGATTTGCTTCCATAGCCTTTGTCCAACCAAGAACAAACTACAAGGCAGCAGTTGTTTAATTTTGGAGTTGTCTCTCCTAGAAGAGTGACTGTCCCCAGCTAACGAGCCTCATCTGCCCGAGGGTTCGAACTCGAGACTTTTCGGTTTAGCAACCATGAGCTTTACCGACTCGACCACGCCGACCCCTTTAAATATTTATGAGTAAACACACCTGAATTATGGTGTAACTAAGTTAGTGTTAGTGAGTTATTCCCCTTACATATAGTGTTAGCGAGATATTCCCCTTACCAGTAGTGTTTGTGAGTTATTCCCCTTACCAGTAGTGTTTGTGAGTTATTCCCCTTTCATGTAGTGTTAGTGAGTAATTCCCCTTACCTGCACATTGATGAGTTCTCAGCAAACACAGCTATGTCTGCCCAAGGTGTTGGATGCCAGTAAGGGAAATAATCCCGCTCCTCTGGACATTCGTAACCATAACGATTCCCAGTTGGATTCTGACGAGTGTAGATGGCACTGCTGTAGCCTAGACCATTATCAGCCGTCAGCTTCTGATCAGCAACAAACAAGCCTATGGTAACACAAAACAACATTCAATAATTCACTTCAAATAATGCAATTATTAACATCAACAAAAGTACAATTTTTTTTTATAGTAATGATAGAACATTATATTTTATTTTAAACTTCTAGTATAAGTTTCAGAAATTAATTATTAAATATTCCATAACAAAAAAAACACAGAACAGATTTTTAAAGTTTCTTACTACACAGTATTTTACCTTTGTTTCGTTCACGAATGTAGCATTTGTTGTACCAGTCCCAGGGCTCATGCAGACCTCTGTCAGTTTTCACGTCTTTGGTCTTACGTTCACTGCCAAGTGTTGTCTTGGTTGGTTTTGTGAAGTCTTGTGTATTTGTTGTCACTCCATTTCTCATGCTGTCAACTGTTTAGAATATACACTCATCTAAGAACTTCCAAACTTTAACACTGAGAAATTCACTTACATCTAGCTAATCTTCCTTGAGTGGGAGTAACTTTTAAAGTAACGCAGTTCATTATAAATAAAAAAATTATTTAAAAAAAAATTAGCTCCTATGTTTAAAACATGAACCCCTATGTTTAAAAAATGAGCTCGTATGTTTAAATTATGAGCTCTTATGTTTAAAAGATGAACTCGCATGTTTAAAAATGAGCTCATATGTTTAAATTAATGAGCTCGTATTTTTAAAAAATGAACTTGTATGTTTAAAAATTAGCTCGTATATTTAAATGATGTTCATATGTCTAAATAGTGAACTCGCATGTTTAAAAAAAGAACCCCTATGTTTAAAAAATGAACTCATGATTTAAAAAAAAGAACGTGTATGTTTAAAAAATGAACTCGTATGTTTAAAAAATGAGCTCCGTATGTTTAGGGTTGTTGAAGCAACTACCTGTTGGGCTGTCCGGCTCGTCCTCACACATGTACTGTAGGAGCAGGACACAGTTCTGTTTGTTTGGGCTTGTGTTGTCATTGCCACCACAGCCATGTTGGTTTGTCCACTCGATGGTCAGATAACTTTTACCCTCGCCAGTGGGGGATGTTTTCCAGGGAGAACTTTGGAAGTATTTCTGCATGAACACAAAATAGCAGTGAATCTTTTGCCAGGAAAAGAATATATCTGCCCTTACACAAAATAGTAGTGAATCAGATTCAAGTCCAATGTATTTATAATTTTGATTCTCGTCTTTTCTGAAAATCAGAGCTTCAGTACTGACTAAAATGAGAATCATTATATAACAACATTTTTTAGATTTTCTTCTATAAAAGATTCGCGTTGCAGCGTTAAATGAAAAAAATCAAAGAACAATACAAGTTAAGTTTCCATTCTATACTGGTTAAATTACCATTCTATACTGGTTGGTACCAGCTAAACAAAGGGTTAAATTACCATTCTATACTGGTTGGTGGCATTAGCACCAGAGGGCTGGTCAGTCTTGTCCCCCACATTGTAACCACCTCTGTTGTTATTCTGTGAAACAATGACATTAGTTAAATTAAGGGAGATAATAATATGCAATACAGAACTAACAACAATCCATTAATACATTTACTTATAACTATATGTGTGATGGATTGGAATCACTGACGAGAAGCCACATTGATTGTTAACAGTACTTTATTCACACCATGAGGAAAGAGAGAGAGGGCGGAAGTCACGAGACACTTATATACATAAACATGTAAGGGACATCACTCAAGATAACAGTATAAATATAATACTAATACAGAAGAGTGAGTTCCCTTGACTTCACAAGTCTCACTATATTACATCCCTTTACCCTTAGTAAACACAACACATCTCTCAATAGAACAATTTACAGTATCCTAAAATCACCAATTATATTGTAACATGAACACTATGGTAGATTACATCCTTACAAACAATGCACAATATGTTACAACACAATTAAAATACAAACAATGATGTCAAAGTCCTTTTGACCTTTAAAATCATAGGTCTAACTTATTTGGGACTTTGATTGTCCTGTTTGACCTTCTCAGTGGCTTTTGATTTGGTGACTCAATATTCTGACCATTTGGATTCTCTATCTCAGGAGGTCTAGGATTTAAATCATTAAATCCAGAATTTACATTTTCTGACTCCAGACTACTTGGTTCACTCATATCAACAGAACTTGGTTGTGGAACAAACTGAGTTGGTGTGAACTGTTCAGATTTGGTGGGATTGACAGATTCACACTTATTATCTGCACAAGTTATTTTTAACTGGTCTGCATGTCTACGGACAATAAGTCCATCATTTGTTTTTACTTTATAAGACACAGGTCCTGTACATTTAACAATTTGACCTGGTATCCATTTTTCCTTTCTCCCATAATTTCTTAGATACACATTATCATTAACTCCAAATTCTCTTTCAATGGATGATTTGTCATGATTTACTTTTTGTGTATGTTGATGTTGGGAAACAGACCTTTGAACAGTTGGATGTAGTAGATCAAGGTGGGTTTTAATTTTCCTACCACATAACAATTCACATGGTGCAACACCTGTTGTTATATGAGGAGTTGTGCGGTATTTGGTTAAGAACCTGTTTACTCTTTCTCTAAGAGAAAACTTGTTACCGGTACTCATTTTTACCATAGCGGTTTTGAATATGCCTACCGCTCTTTCAGCCAAACCATTCCCAGCAGGATGATAGGGGGATGTGGTTATATGCTCAATACCATTTGCCACACAAAACAGTTTAAACTCATGAGCTGTGAAACTAGGCCCATTATCTGAAACAATTTGATCTGGTAATCCATGAGTTGAAAATATTTCCTTAAGTTCTATAATGGTATCATTTGCAGTGATTGTGTTCATGATTTTAACTTCTAACCATTTAGAATGTGAATCAATAACAATTAAAAACATTTTGTTCATGAAAGGTCCTGCGAAATCTATATGTATACGTTTCCATGGTTCGATTGGCCAGTCCCAGTTTTGCAAAGGTGCTGTAGCTGGTTGCTTTGAATGTTGTGCACAGCTTGAACAAAGCTTTACATATTTTTCAATATCAGCATCCATATGTGGCCACCAGAACCATGATCTTGCTAGACTCTTCATTTTGGAAGAACCAAGATGAGTATCATGTAAAGTTCTTAAAACTTCTTTTTGTAATATTTTGGGGATAATTACTCTTGACCCCCATAGTATACATCCATCTTCTAGACTTTACTCTGTTTTTCTTATTTTATATGGCTTTAAGTCATCATTCACAGACTCTTCAGGCCAACCATTCTTACAGTACTCATATACTTTTATTAAGCACTCATCTTTTTGTGTTTCTCTTTTAATATCATTCACATTTATATTGGAGTTATCCATGATAGTGAAGAGAACAAATACATCTTCTGGTATATAGCTAAGGTTTTGGTTTTTTTAAAGGTAATCTACTAAGACTATCTGCACTATTCTCAGATCCAGGTTTGTATCTCAATTCATAATTGTATGCAGTTAGTGTGATAGCCCATCTTTGAATTCTTGGTGAGGCATGCTCAGGTAGGGTTTTGTTTTCTCCAAATAAACCTAGCAATGGTTTATGATCTGTAAAGATGGTGAACTTCCTACCAAACAGAAACTTATGAAATTTCTTAACACTAAAAATGATGCCTAAGCCTTCCCTATCTAACTGAGAATAATTTTTCTCAGCCTGGTTCAAAGATCTACTGGCAAAAGCAATGGGTCTGTCACCCTTCTCATCCATGTGGGACAAGACTGCTCCTACACCATCTGGTGAAGCATCACATGTTAATATAAGTCTTTTCCCTGGGTCATAGTGAGTTAGTAAGGTGTCAGAAGACAAAGCCTCTTTTGCTGTATTAAAAGCAGTATCTTGTTGTTTACCCCAGTGCCAAGTTGCATTTTTCTGTAGCAGCTTGTACAGTGGTGATAGTTTACCAGACAGATTCCCTATGAACTTTGCATAGTAATTTATCAAGCCCAAAAAAGCTCTTAGTTGTTGGGTATTTTCAGGTTTGGGTGCTTCTTTAATGGCTTTTGTTTTCTCAGGTTGAGGTCTGATACCTTGCTTGCTTAATATATAACCAAGAAAACTAATTTCTGTCAGCATGAATTGACATTTATCTTTGTTTATCTTTAAACCTTTTTCACCAACTATTTTCAAGACTTTATCAAGTGTTTTAAGATGTTCAGTGTCATTCTTACCAGTTATGTACACATTGTCAAATTAAACACAAACATTTGGAATATCCTTAAAAATACTGTCCATGACAGCTTGGAAAATTCCAGGGCTAGATGATATGCCAAAACATAGTCTTTCATATTGGTAGAGTCCTTTGTGTGTGTTTATTGTCGTATAGACTTTTGAATCTGGATGCAGTTCTAGTTGAGTGTAAGCATGACTAAAGTCTAATTCAGTGAATTTGTCTCCTCCTGCCAAATTCAAAGAAATTTCCTCAATGTTAGGAATAGGGTACCTATTTAGCTCTATTTGCTTATTCAGTGTAGTTTTATAGTCTCCACAAATTCTTATAGAACCATCCTTCTTTAACACTGGCACAATGGGCGTTGCCCAATCGGAATAGTCCACCTTCTTTATGATGCCATTAGATTCCAATCTACTTAGCTCATTTTCAATTTTATTCCTCATTGCATAAGGTGGAACTCTAGCTTTGCAGTATCTTGGATTTGTGTCTTTAATGCTTAACTTCACTGTTCTATCATTTAGTAATCCAGGATTACCAAAAACACATTTATTTTCAGATATAACTTTATCTATTGAAGTAAGACTAGATTCTCTTGCATTGTTCAATGAACATATACTCTCCCAATTTAACTTAAGATCACTTAACCAGTTCCTACCCAGTAATGGTGGTCCATTTCCTTCAACCACAAGAAGAGGAAGTTTAACACTTTGACCATTATAACTTACATGAACCATACACTCTCCTATTACCGGAACATTGTCACCAGTGTATGTTGTTAGACACTTGTGACATGGTTGTAGAGGCACTGATCCTCCTGTGACAGCGTCAAAGTCCTTCTTTGTGATGACTGTTAGAGATGCTCCAGTGTCAAGTTGGAAGCTGATGCTCTTACCGTTGATATAAACTGGTACATTGATGGGAGCATGACTTATTGATTTCACGGAGAACAGGTTGAAATCCGGCTGCGAATCAGTTTGAGCATTTTCACAGGTAGAGTGGTTCATTGGTTGGGTTAGGTAGTCTTGGTGAGAGTTAACATAGTGCTGCCTTTGGTTGCGGTACTGTCTTGACTGGCTAGATTTAGCAACAGACGAAGACTTTGCAAAGCAGGCCTTGGCAATGTGACCTTGCTTACTGCACTTATAACAAGTTGCTGACTTGAACTTGCACCGATGAGATGCATGGGGACCTTTGCATCGATGACATTTTTGATAATTATTACTAGATTTAGATCTAGGATTTGAACGTGCAGGCTGTTTAGCATAAGTTGAAATGCTCTGATGGGGTTGGTGTTTATTGACTAACCTGCTGTTTACTGCATGGATCTCTGAAGCCGTTAGAGATTTGACTGCCTCGGATGACTGCTGGAATGAAGTCGCAAGTTGTATTGCTTTTTCCAATGTTAGATCTGACTCGAGCAGCAACTTTCTTTGAACATCAGGGCTGTTTACACCTGTCACAAACTTTTCACATAGTCTGTCAGACAGCGTGTCTCCGAATTCACAAAATTCACTTAAATGACGTAAAGCAGCAACATATTCTGATATTGACTCGTTTGGTTGACGAGTCCTACTGTCAAATCTAGCTCGACATAGAAACTTTGATGGGGTAGGCGCATGGTGGTCTGTTAGCAATTTGCTCAGCTCGTTAAAGCTCTTGGTAGTTAGACTAGCTGGTGCGCATAAGTCCTTTAGTAGCCTAAATTGTTGAGGCCCTATGACTGTTAACAAAACAGCTCTCTTTTTGGCTTCTATCGTCACGTTGTTTGCTTCAAGGTAAAAGCTTAACCTATCTAGGTAATCATGAATGATTTCATCATTCGAATCAAATTCTTTTATTTGGCCATACAGCGCCATTATTCTAGAAATACTTAGCCAATATGCTCTAGCAAACCTCTTTTTTGCGTAAGTAGGTGCTCTTTCTAGTGGATTATTTATCCTCGTCGCCAATGTGATGGGTTGGAATCACTGACGAGAAGCCACATTGATTGTTAACAGTACTTTATTCACACCATGAGGAAAGAGAGGGAGGGCGGAAGTCACGAGACACTTATATACATAAACATGTAAGGGACATCACTCAAGATAACAGTATAAATATAATACTAATACAGAAGAGTGAGTTCCCTTGACTTCACAAGTCTCACTATATTACAATATGGGTACTAAAAAATTAAACCACCTCTATTGTTATTGTATGAAAAATGCCATTAGCTAAATAAAAGGATCTAAGATACAATACAAAAGAAAGCAAGGAAGGCCAAGGGAGACTTGGCGTGAGCAGGGAAGCAACTGGCAGAGGCAGAACTGTCATGGGGGAAAGTTAATAGCTTGTTACTGACAAAAGTGGAGAACATTCTGTGGTGGCCCCCATGTGTTTTGGGCACAAAAAGGAAAAGATGATGAAGATATAATACAGAACTAACACAATGCATGTAATATTAATTCAAATTATTGCAGTACCGACACTAATAAGTTAAACATTATTACATCGTGAATGATATTCTGTCATTATATAGCCCACATATTCATTCTTTCATTCAAAAAAGCCATTTTTGTTCCATTTTAGACAAGTATGACTAGTATAAGCCTACAAAAGAAACAAAATGTAATTTTCCTGTGTATTTAACAATGCTGGTACATTCACCAGTAAACATAACAAAACAATTGGTTGTGAAAACAGAGTCCACTTTAAAAAAAAAAAAAATTATAGGCCTACTGAGCTTGGGACACCAAGTCAAACTGTAATTTTAAAATTTGTATTGGAAGTTATTGCTAGTTCTGTATTAGCCACTGACCTGACTGTCAAAGAGCCTGTTGGCATTAGTCCTCGTGGCAGTATTTTCATTCAGTCGATTATTGCTGCCCCTTGGTACATGTAGATAGATGTCAGCACAAGCAACTGACATTAACAATACAACATGAAATACTCTCTGTAGTGTGAAGGCCATTGTAACTGAAATATAAATATATGAGTGTGGTTTATTTATAGAGCTAAGCAAAAAATGTAACATAGTGGCCATTTACTTTGTCAAAATAATAATCATAACTTATTTCTAAATTTCAACAATATTTGATAATTTATCATTCAACTAGAGAAAAAGGTTAAGTCTATATTATACAATAGGTAAAAGCAACATATAGTTTAAAATTATTAAATGCTGTTCTTCTTCTTCTTCTTCTTCTTCGTTCTTAATTATTAGTGTTGAAGGGGATCGAGATTTATCTGCCAGTGGGTTTGAACTCGAGACTTTGTTCGAATTTATCAACTATGAGCTTTTTGCCAACTCGAGCACGCCTCCAACACAATTAAGCGGTACGTGTCAACTGGTTATGCGCCATTGAGGCCATTGACTCCGATTTCAGCCTGCTTTTCTTTTTGGATTTGCTTCCATAGCCTTTGTCCAACCAAGAACAAACTACAAGGCAGCAGTTGTTTAATTTTGGAGTTATCTCTCCTAGATGAGTGGCTGTCCCCAGCTAACAAGCCTCATCTGCCCGAGGGTTCGAACTCGAGACTTTTCGGTTTAGCAACCATGAGCTTTACCGACTCGACCACGCCGACCCCTTCTTCAATAATTTTAATATATTTCTGTGTGAAATCACTGTGATTATTTTATTTGTAGGCTTTTGTGAAGTGTAAATTAATTCAATTATGCAATCCTGCCATGTATTTTAATTGGAAAAATTTTGCATTGCCATTACAATATATTGATTACAAATATTATTACTAGATCATGAAGATATATTTTTTGTGTTGTAATTTAAAAAAACAACAGATTTTTAATAATATGGTCCAACAAAAAATTGATGTAAACAAGTAAAATAAGGCAGATAACCCCTAAAGTAGTCCTAAATACAGATGTCAAGTTGATGTTTGCTTTAACACTGTAATATAAATTATAATTATTTTTTATGTATAGGGGGGGGGGGGGGGGGGCTACTGAATCTCAATTGGAGGGGGGGGGGGGGTCCGATCCGTCTGGGAGATCTAGATTAGACCTAACTAAAACTTTTGGCTCTTTTATTTTATTTAAGTATTAGTAGTAAAACTTGTAAAACTCTCTAAAGCACTTTATCATACACATAACTAAAACTTATAATAGGCCTAGTATTAGTAAGCCTATTACTAGCCTATTAGTAGTTAGTTACTAAGTAATAGCACAGAACAGGGGCGTAGCGAGGGGGGGGGCGGGGGGTGCGGACCGCACCGGGTGACACCATTTAGGGGGGTGACACCAAGGCAAAAAATAGCAAAATATATAGAGAAAAACTCGAGGGGGGGGGGGTGCAAAACGAAAGTTTGAGGGGGGGGTGCAAATCAAAAACTCGAGGGGGAGGTGCAAAACGAAAGTTTGAGGAGGGGGGGGGGGTGCAAATCGAAAATTTGAAAGTTTGTCCCTGGGAAGGGTCTCTATGCCTCTGGGGGGGTGACACCATTAAGTGCCGCACCGGGTGACACCCGACCTCGCTACGCCACTGGCACAGAATAATACTTAATACTATATCTATTAATTAATAATACTTAACTTAGCCTATTCTATTATTATTATTATTATTAGGCCCTATTTGTAATTTAATATTAATTATTAGGCTAATAATTTAAATTTAATAATAGTAATATTAAATATAGTAGCCTTGGCTTAATAAATAATAGAATAGGTGACAGGCTTAGCCTCTAACTAATACTACAATATAAAATACTAGATTTCCAAAGAAATGTTCTCCAAATGTCAGGGGCGAACAGATTAAATTGAATAATTTGAGTCAAGTCCGTCCATGGTCTCTTAGAAATACACACGATTTACCTGAACAGTGACAACACTACACACACACCTCTACGCGGATGAATCCTATGTTATCGCTTCATTGACGACGCAGTTTAGTTAGGCCCAATGCCAGATCCACCTTTAAAAATATGTAAATCTAGATCTATTTTCTAGACCTGAATTCAAACAATAAACTTGTTTTCGTCTGACTGGATTAATAATCAAAATGTACTCAGATAGGATTAAGAACCTGGCAAAATAATTAAACGTCACAATTTTAATCAACTTTCATTTTAGGACTCACAGCTAACAGCGCAATGACTCAGACAGAACTGAACACTTGCAACTGTTTTTGTCGTATGACCCAAAAAAGTGTGTTGTGTACTTCTAAGATATTGTAGGCTGGTCTATATTTATTTATTGTGTGTCGTCACTGGTATTCCACTTCGTCACACGCTCGTGAGACATGGCTTTTACACAGCAGTAGCAAGTGTTTTGGATATCCGGATTCTAAAAATGGAGTTTATTTAATTTCGTAACAGCTGATATAGGCAGGCCCAGTAACTAGAATCTAGTAGTAAACTATAGGATTAGTAATGAAATGTATTGTAATAAATACATTAAGTAATAAATAATATAGTTATTCTGAGATTATAGTGCTAGACTTTGATTTTAGTCTTAATTTTAAATCTCGACGGTGAGTTCAGTTTAATGCTAGAAAATCTAGACCTACTAATAATAAAAATATAGCCTAAATTATTCTTAGATTTGTTTTTACGAGTGAACAACTCGGCAACAGAAGTCAAATATTGAACAAGCAACCATTAATTTAACATGAAGAACATTCTAGTGATTTTAATTCTCGTTATATCGAATATCGTAAGAGGAGATATATATCTTCACAATCCAAGGTAAGAATACATGTTATCATAATAATACATTTATTAAATATACTCCGATAAGTATATAGATATAGCTGTTAAATTGGTTGTATTAAAATGCACAATGCTAATGTTCATCTCTGACGGCTACAGGACATTACCCCCCCCCCCCCCCGTCAATTAATTACCCCCCCCCCCTCGGACATTTCTCCCACGTATTTATCCCCCCCCGGAGCAATTACCCCCCCCTCTCAAGTTAGTATCCTAACTCTAACTCATATTCTATACTTATATATTATCTTAATCCTAAACTTAAGAAAAAGAGCAAAGCCTAAGCATTCAACTCAGCCTAAAACTTAACACAAAACCAGTGCTAGACATTGTTTCTAAAGCCTAACCCTAACACTAACCCTAACCCTAGCCAAATCAATAGCCCTAACCCTGACCATAACACTAACCTTAATTCTAACCCATAATCTAGCCGAACCCTAACCCTAGACCAAACCCTAACCCACCCAAGCCATAGCCCTAACTCTAACCCTGACCCAAGCCATAGCTCTAGCCCTAACCCTAAACATGTCCGGGGGGGGGGGGGGGTGATGTCCTACTGGGTGGGGGGGGGTTAATTCACAGGGGGTAATAACTCCAGGGGGGGGGGGGAATTGACTTGTGGGTTGGGGGGTAATACCCTGTTCCCATTTCTGACATGTGGGTCCCCATCTCTGACATGTGGGTCCCCATTTCTGACATGTGGGTCCCATTTCTGATATTTGGTTCTCCATCTCTGACATGTGGGTACCCATCAATAATTTACGGGTACATACCAGTGACAAGTTTTAATTGGTTATCATCTTATTAATACATTTCATGAATACAATTGCGTTTTTTAACCAATTTTAAAATATTTTTTAAATGAATTTAAAATAAAATCAGATATGTGACCTCTACTCATTTTTTCTTTTATCAGGGGAAGTAACAACCGTCTTGATGAGGCGACTCGGGAAAGAGCGAATGGCAATAAGTAAGTGCCCATAATTATGTTGTTCACTAGCCTATGCAGGTGTGGACTGGGCCGTCGGTCTACACTAGTCTACAGGGAAAAATCCTATTTCTGCCCTATCTAGTGGGGTAAATTGAATCGTATTTCTACCCTATCTTGTGGGGTAAATTGAATCGTATTTTTACCCTATCTAGTGGGGTAAATTGAATCGTATTTCTACCCTATCTAGTGGGGTAAATTGAATCGTATTTCTACCCTATCTAGTGGGGAAAATTGAATCGTATTTCTACCCTATCTAGTGGGGTAAATTGGATCGTATTTCTACCCTATCTAGTGGGGTAAATTGGATCGTATTTCTACCCTATCTAGTGGGGTAAATTGGATCGTATTTCTGCCCTATCTAGTGGGGTAAATTGGATCGTATTTCTACCCTATCTAGTGGGGTAAATTGAATCGTATTTCTACCCTATCTAGTGGGGTAAATTGAATCGTATTTCTACCCTATCTAGTGGGGTAAATTGGATCGTATTTCTACCCTATCTAGTGGGGTAAATTGGATCGTATTTCTACCCTATCTAGTGGGGTAAATTGGATCGTATTTCTACCCTATCTAGTGGGGTAAATTGAATCGTATTTCTACCCTATCTAGTGGGGTAAATTGAATCGTATTTCTACCCTATCTAGTGGGGTAAATTGAATCGTATTTCTGCCCTATCTAGTGGGGTAAATTGAATCGTATTTCTACCCTATCTAGTGGGGTAAATTGAATCGTATTTCTGCCCTATCTAGTGGGGTAAATTGAATCGTATTTCTACCCTATCTAGTGGGGTAAATTGAATCGTATTTCTGCCCTATCTAGTGGGGTAAATTGAATCGTATTTCTACCCTATCTAGTGGGGAAAATTGAATTGTATTTCTATCCTTTCTAGTGGGGTACATTGGATCGTATATCTACCCTATCTAGTGGGGTAAATTGAATCGTATTTCTGCCCTATCTAGTGGGGTAAATTGAATCGTATTTCTACCCAATCTAGTGGGGTAAATTGAATCGTATTTCTACCCAATCTAGTGGGGTAAATTGGATCGTATTTCTACCCTATCTAGTGGTAAAAATTGAATCGTATTTCTACCCTATCTAGTGGGGTAAATTGGATCGTATTTCTACCCTATCTAGTGGGGAAAATTGAATCGTATTTCTACCCTATCTAGTGGGGTAAATTGGATCGTATTTCTACCCTATCTAGTGGTAAAAATTGAATCGTATTTCTACCCTATCTAGTGGGGTAAATTGAATCTTATTTCTACCCTATCCAGTGGGGTAAATTGGATCGTATTTCTACCCTATCTAGTGGGGTAAATTGAATCGTATTTCTACCCTATCTAGTGGGGTAAATTGAATCGTATTTCTACATTATCTAGTGTGATAAATTGAATCGTATTTCTATCCTATCTAGTGGGGTGAATTGGATCGTATTTCTACCCTATCTAGTGGGGTAAATTGAATCGTATTTCTACCCTATCTAGTGGGGTAAATTGAATCGTATTTCTACATTATCTAGTGGGATAAATTGGATCGTATTTCTATCCTATCTAGTGGGGTGAATAGGATCGTATTTCTGCCCTATCTAGTGGGGTAAATTGGGTTGTATTTCTACCCTATCTAGTGGGGAAAATTGAATCGTATTTCTGCACAATCCAGGCGGTTTGGTTGTCGCCATATTTTTTTTATTAGCTTCTACTCTATCAGTTATAGTCGTCAATTGATACCGCCTCAGTGTTTCTTCCAGACTTTTTTCTCCGGGGGGGGGGGGGGCACTTGAAATTTTCGGGGGGGGGGGGCGGTAGATTTCCTTTGGGGGGGGGGCGGACACTGTTAAAAGTATATATTTTCTATATAAATTATATAAATTTCATTTCGTTGGGGGGGGGGGGGGGGGGCTTTGACCCCCCCCCCCCCCCCGAAGAGATGCCTGGAAGAAACTTTGTACCGCCTATCAGTGACACCCATTAGTGTACAATTCACGTACAATTCAGTTTCAAGACAATATTTTATACAGTTAAAATAATAAAAGTGTCGGTGGAGAAGGTGACAACAGGAAATGAAAAATTGTTGGTGGCGAGGTGACCTAGTGACGCCACGGTCTTAAATAACGCTCTGGGAAACGTAGTGTTGAAGTTACGAGTAACACAAAGACGGTTTAAAAATGTGGCGCCTTTTAGTCACTGGCCGCTCTCCCTATCTTCTTTTTACAACACTATTTTTGTGTTGTTTTGGACATTCAGATTTTACAATATTACACCACGTGCTATAAGTCAGACGTCACGTTTTAAATTTAAATATTGTTCGTAATGGCCTAGTGAACAAAGAGCTGGGACTACTTTCTTTTTTTCGACTGAGCTGCCATCTTGGCGCATTGATGCTGAACTGCCGTGAACTGTCGGCACGGTTCTTTATGAAAAGGTTGACCTAGCAGACATGTCACAGATTCCTACCATCACGCATTGAAGAGCTGCACATGAAAACTTTAAAACTTGTCATAAAGACAAAAATATCGGTAAACTGGATTACAGACATCCTCTGTACGGAAATTATTTGTTTTTTGTACTGTCTTGATCAGTGGCGGAACTAGAAAAAAAAGGCTCCCCCGCAAAGAAAAAATTAGGGCCCCTTATATATATATATATATATATATATATATATATATATATATATATATATATATATATATATATATATATATATATATATATAGGATATATATAATCCTAACTGAGTAATTTGGTCTACTTCATTGCAATATATAACCATTCTGAGAGAACAAACCAGACAAATTTAGTCCAAACTCATTTTGGGCTAGGAAAAGATATTACTAAACATGCTGGTCAAAAATATATAAAGACGTAAGCTTGATTCATGAATGGTTTCTCGCGTTATGTTTATTTTTTTCATTTTTGGCTTTTATAATATCAAATTTGTAAACATAGATTTTTATAGCTATACCATTGTTTAGTACGTCTTATTTAAATAATAATTCAGAGAATCAATTGCTTTTTAATATACATAGTACAAAACTATTTAAATGAGCTTTGTGGGCATCCCTATTTTAAAGAAGGGCAGTAAGTCATGGAAGTAGTGTGAATGTTTGCCTACCTTTCAAACTATAGCTCTTGTAGATTTTAAAATATTTTTCTACGCAACAATCTCTGCTATAGTAGACCTGTTTTTTTTTTTTACAAAACCACTTTCAAGATGCATGAAAAACATAATTTTTGAAAAAGTAAATTCATTGTTTTTTGGTCGGAAATGGGCCCCTAAACGCCCTGGGCCCCCCCCGCATTGCGGGGTCTGGCGGTATGGTAGTTCCGCCCCTGGTCTTGATGGAATAACAAGCCAACTTTGTACCACTAAAGTGATGACATTTTTAAAAACTGAACTTTCAAAAAGACGATTGAAATATTTATTGGACTTATTACAAAACAAGTTAAACCCAGCCCCTTTCTTTACACAGAACGTATCTCAACAGCTTAGATCAAACACGGGTGTTGGTGGGCTGGATGTGGGCTGATGGGTATTGAATAGGACGGTATAACTTGTTCGTTTGGTTGCTACGCTTGAAATGGTATTAGATCTGGTAGGCTATATACATATGGACGTACATAATTTCATACCATATATTCAACACTTGAAATGGTATTCGATTTTGTAGGCTATATACATATAAACGTACATAATTTCATACCATATATTCAACACTTGAAATGGTATTAGATCTGGTAGGCTATTGTAACGTTAACCTTTCTATCAGCCAAATAGAAGGAGAACGTCCCCGGATTCTTTTTTCGGGGTCATATGCAAATGCCTTACGGCCTAAGTGGATGAACACTTAACACAACGACCACTAGGGCTCGAAATTAATGTCTAGGGGAGCTAGTGATACTATTGTAATTAACACTCATCCAATCTACATACGACCATTTAATCAGCGAACTCAGATGTGGCAAAACACAAAGATGAACTAGATAAAATATTTAATGTATAAAATATCAAAAACCCAACTTACACAATGTAGGAAAAAAACACTATCACAGATTTCTACACTGTCCAAAGAACAGCTACAGGCCACACAACACTGCTGTAGCTTCTAGACTTACTTAGCGACAAGTAATATTAAACTAGAAGATTAAAGCAACTTAAGAAAGCAAAGCACACACAGGTCTTAAGTACTCTCACGTTCAAATGGTCAGAGTCTATAGCCGGACAATATGGACGGCTGCCTGACTAAGGTAAAACGGCCTCGTAGACTGCCAGGTCAAGATAAACTGCCACGTGTTGCGAGTGTGCGGGGCAATTAAAGACTTCTGTGACAGGGGAGGTTATCCTCAACTCATGTCGCCATTGGTTGGGATAATCATCTGATCAGAATCATTCAATCAGATTTTAATGGAAATTTTCTATGTCTCAAACACCTTAATAGTCAATGGAAAAACCCCAGGTGTTACACAATCATTCCATATAAGGAAATATACAATGTCAAAATAAAAATGACTCGACCTAAGTAGGTCACATCCCCTCCCTTTTTGGAAGTGACAGATAGGTTCCACAAAAACATACATAAGGAACCAATCTGGCAATGAAATAACAAAAATGTTTTACAAATGTAGGCAATCAAAATCATAATACCAGATGAAAATATCCCTGAACATAAAAGGGAAGTAACTCCAACTTTTACAATTGGTGAAAGGGGAGTAACCCTTCAAAAAGTCATTATACATCAAAATCCCTCAAAAAAGGGTATTACAATATTTCCATGTGGATATTAAAAGTGGTAAACCCGCCAGGGCAAGACCTTTATTTCAATGACTAGCTACAATATCAATTGAGTCATATGAGACATATTATTATAAAAGATTACAAATAATCAAAAACCACCTTTAATTAAGGTTAACCTGAAAATAAACAAAATATTCAACAGGATTGGAATTTTGAAAAATTCTAACTCACACCACTCATTTTCATATGA